GAACCAAACCGTTGAATGTGCATTTTTCTGACAGTACAAAGAAGAATTATGTGTGTGTAATGTTTAATAACAAGTGTTTTATTTTTCAGTCACACAAAAGAACAAGAAAAATATATATAATATACAATAACACTTTACAATAAGGTTGTATTAGTTAAGGTTAATGTGTTTACCAGCATGAACAAACAATGATCTATAAATTTATTCCTGTATTTATTAATCTGGTTAATGTTAGCTAATGGAAGTGTGTTAGTTCATGTTAACTTGCAGTGCATTACCTAATGTTATCAAGCATACATTTAGATTTTAATAATGGATTAGTTAGGGTTGAACTATCACTAATCAATGCTGTACAGTGTTGTTCATTCTTAGTTCATGTTAGTAAATGCATTAACTAACATGAACTAATGCTACTTTATTGTAAAGTGTGATTAAATATATAATATAAATAGTGTTTTATTTATTATACTATGCATTAAAAGATAAGATGGCAGATAAGAGACCTACTAATATAGTAGAAGTACATTCTTTTATGGGATACAGAGACATGTTTTGCCAAATGAAACATTCAATTTGTTACTTTTCACAATGATTTATTGGTTGGTTGGTTGATGAAAAAAATGTGCTGGCAAAATGCATGATGATTGAGAGTAAATGCTGACTTTTAAAGCTGTTTTTTCCATTTAATCTATGGAATAATATATCACCTGGAGTTGTTTTGCGCATTGGCGAGTGTTTGGTTGGTTTTAGACCCTGTTCACATCTCACTGACCAGACTGAGAGACAGATGGAGTGAAAGGTGAGGTGTGCTAATGATGACAGCTTTAGGGAGTTATGATCAAGCACTGGCCTGTGATTGGCTGAATGTCAATTCAGATAAAGACTTCAAGACCAACCATACTGTTTTTCCCTCCCCTCTTTATCGTTCTCTTTGTTGTAGTTTTTTTCTTCTTCTCTCATATAGCTTATCATTTCTTCATGAATGCTCCTCCCAATTTAACTGTCTCCGTCTAATGTTTGCCGTAGGCTGTGTCTGTCTCTGCACTCCTCCTCGAGACATTTATAGATCTTTTGTATTTTCCACTTCAAGCTGGACAAGTAATTACAGAATGGAGAGCAGAAGTGTGCTTGTAAAAGAGTAGGTGCAATGTAGGTGCTGTTTTTATTTCTAGGCTGGGAGCTTGCATCAGGACAGCATGGTTGTCATTTATTTCTATATAAGGGGTGTCAAACTCAGTTCCTGGAGGGCCACAGCCCTGCACAATTTAGTTCCAATTCTGCCTCAACGCACTCGGCCATGTTCACACTGGACTCTTCGCCGCATCAACTTCCGTTCATATGCATTCGAATGTGACTAAAGCTTGTGCAACAAGTTTTTTGGTGACAAGCTTGATGACTTGCGAAATTGCATCATGTGGCTGTGTGAGGCCAATTGAAGATCAAAACATGACCTCTCTGGACAGTAATTTAAAATATGGATTATTCGCTTTTTTAATATCTAATCATCTTGTTTAATCCCACCTCTAAGACAGAATTTCGCAAACTCAAACTCTAGTGTGTCTGAGGCTTTACCTGTTGGTTTCAAGCCTAAATGGCTCAATTAGTTTGATCAGGTTTGTTTAATTAGGGTTGGAACTAAACTGTGCAGAACTGCGGCCCTTTAGGAACTGAGTTTGACACCTGCGATCTTTGTTTAAAGTAGGGTTGAACAGTTCATCGTTTTAGCATCCATATCGCAATGTGCGCATTGGCAATAGTCACTTCACAAGATATGCAGTGTTGAGTCTAATTTATAGTTGACCAGGAGCCACAGAACACATCTAATTTGTTGAGCCACTGCTAAGTTTAATCATAATAGAGTGAAAGCTCATCATATGCATGTGTTTTAAGGCCATTGACTGAGCATTTTGAGAGAGTTTGGGCATAAAGTATAATGTTTGGAGGCGTAACAAAGATTTTATTGAAATGTAATTATTTATATGATTTATGCAAAAATAAAAATAAATAAATAACATTTTTCTTACTTAATTTTTGTCTAGTTCCTAGTCAACTTTCAAAGCACAAATAAAGTTATGTGAATTTCCTCATTGACTGAAAATTTAGCTTTTTAAAGGAAAAACTTCACATTTTGACTTGAAGTTTTTTTGAAGGTGAAAACAAAACAATATTTTTTACTTGAACTACAAAAAACGTTTAGATATTTGGATAAGAAACAAGACAAGCATGAAATGGACAAGTAAGAAAAGCATTTTTTGCATTGTGATTATTTCATTTCTGTACAGGAATAATGTTAGACTCGCCAGAAAACCATTACCATATTCAAACTATCTTCTTGTGAAAAAACTGTATACATCTTGTGATATTTAATTTTTCTGTAATAAATATGGCAATATCAGATTTTTCCAATATCGTGCAGCTCTAGTTTAAAGAGATAATGATTATATGAATGACAAGAAGTTGATCACTAAATGTCTGTTTCTCTCCTCTTTTTGTTGTTTAGCAGGATCTTCCATCAGCAGCGAGTCGTCTCCTGTCTCATCACCGGCCACCAACCACAGCTCTCCAGTCAGTACGCCCAAACGAGGGCCCATGGGTCCAGTTATAGTGCCTCCTGGGGGTCACAGTGTACCCAGTACACCACCTGTGGTCACCATAGCCCCCACCAAAACCGTCAACGGCCTGTGGAGGAGTGAAAGCCGGTCTGTACGAGAGGTAAAGTTAAAAACACACACACAAATATAAACGCCCTTTTTCGAAACCTTGTGAGGCTGCTTCCTAACTTGACCATTGAGATTCCATTTACTCACAAGTACACCACAGAGTTCTCATGATGCTAGATTAACTCCCACAGTTTATTTCAGTGGAACATGACATTATTATGCTGCAAAGAGGACAAAACAAGGTAATATGCAATGAAAACAAATGCTGGACAAACAAAGCTAATTTTGAAGAATGTGAAAATTTTTTATTTTGATGTAAATGTAGTCGTCATCAACATTTCTCTCAATTCAGTTCTCATGAAGCACATAAGCCACGTTGCTAAAGGTAATATCCTAAATGTAGCATAGTTTTACTGTCTACCTTTCAGACAGCAGGCAGAAAGTTGTTAATCTCCAGGGTCATCATCATTCTCTTGCATAGAATATAGCTAATCAAAGTATATAGCTAGAGCCAGACAAAATTTCTTGCATTTTATTTTTTGCTATTTCTGCAGAGAATTTTGTAAAAAAAAATAAATAAATAAAAATCTGTAGATTTATGCTGAATCATTTTAGGAGAATCATAACAAATATATATATATATGAAATTAAAAAAATACATTTTTAACTTTTATTTCATGTTCGCAATGCAAATTCAATTAGATCAACTTATTTGGTCAACAAAGCAAGTTTCTCATGCTATGTCTACTAAAAGGCAGAAAATATCAATTTACAAACTGTATTGTAAATAAATCAATTGAACATTTTAATATTACTATTATTATATCACGATAATAGTAGTGAAACTATTTAAAAACTGAATAAATATAAATTTGCACACATTTATACAAGTAAATACATAGACTCAATGATCGGCTAAAAATCTGCAGAAATCTGCACATTTCTGCGCAGTCAGATTCCATGTGGGCCTGTATATCATATTTATATAGATAGATTTTAAGAAGGGCAGCATGGTGGTGCAGTAAGTAGCATGTTCACCTCACAAAAGAAAGCCGCTGGTTCGAGCCTCGGCTGGGTAATTTGGCTTTTCTGTGCGGGGTTTGCATGTTTAAATACATTTAAATACTATTAGACAAAGTTTTCATAAGGAGAATACATTGATGGACATTTTTACAAAGGTATCACCCAGAACAATCTTAAATTATTTCTCAAAAATTGAACTGAAAAATCATATTTAACTTTGAATATATTTTTGTGTGATTTTATTTATTTCTATTTTATGTATTTGTTATATAACTTTTTATTGTAATACAAATTTATTTTTAATGTGTAATATTTTATGTATATCCATTTTGCTATGAAATAGCTGTAAGTTGCTGATGTGGCAATAAATAAATAAATTAAGATTTCAAGGAGCAAAGTATATATTGGATATTTCTACATGGACACTATTAGTTGCGAAGTTAAATGATTTAAATATAGAGTTTAAATGAATGCTCAATTAAGTGATCAAGCTGATGTGCTAATTTGAACATGACATGGTTACAGGCGTTTTTTTTTTTGTTGTTTTTTTTTTTTCACTTTGGGCTTTTACACCATTTACAAACATTATTTGGGCCCATGTAAATGCTGCATCAATTTTGGCCACTAGGATGTGTTGGTTTGATTTTAAACCTTAAAACTTGCTTGTATATCACGTACATTTTCCACTCACACTCAGTGATGGAGTTTCATTTGGCTTGTGAATCACAGTGTGTCAGAATGTGTGTGCCATATGTTCATGTGACATAAAGCCGACAACAGGACCTGCCCCCCCCCCCCATCACACACACAAACACCCTCTGCCCCCAAGTCCTAAACAATGCCCTGTAACAGCACTAAACATCTGTGTCCTCACCCCCTTTAGACGCCTGCAGTCAAGTACAGATCTTTCCTGTAAGTGTGTGTGCGCACTCGCTTTGATTATGGATTACCAGTCTTCCTCTAATCCTGCTTATCTGCTACCTCTGTCCACTGTTTTGCTCACCCTGAAAAACCTGGCTCTCTTTTCCATTGAAACGGAGCTAGCGATTAGCTGGGAGATTTGTGATCGCGAGCGAGAGACAAAAGAGGGATTCTGCTCTAGCTCTGGACTCCGATCAGACCCGTTTGTGTATTGTTTCAGCTGAGGTCGTGGTAGAACACCTCTGACATCACTATTTATGACAGGAGGGCTTTGACGGCACATACTCAATGATTCTAGGTCAGTATAGTTCACTGTGAAGGGCAGGGGTGACCAGGCCATCGCTCATACACAAACACACACACACATTAAACAAAGAGCACTCTGTCTGCTGCTCAGCTCATATTATTGCTAAGTGAGTGTGTGGGGGGGGGGAGAGGCTTGGGGGATTAATCCCATAAACTGAGGCTCTATAGATTTCCCCCACTGCCCTGACCCCTGACCCTCTGCTTACATGAGGATCCAAAGAAGCAATACTGACACACAAACCCACTCTTCGTTCAGTCACTTTAATATGATTTTTCTCAATACATGTCATGCATAGGATGAGTTTTAGGGTGATGTGTCGCATCGGGTCCTCACCCGGCTGAGGTGGCGTCTCTTGCTGCCTGACTGCTTGCAAGACAAAAGCTACAGAGACAGAGAGACAGAGGGGCCAGACATCAGGCGGCCCCAGGCTCCATCACAACACACTCCTCTTTCATTTTTAATGTGCATAAGCCCCACCGCACACCTGTCGGCTTGTACACATACACACACACACACACACACACACGCGCAAACAGAGACATTTATGTAGCTCTAGAAAACAAGACAGGCTTTAGACTTGTGTTGCTTTACAAAGAAATGATCGAATTACAATGACTGCAAATTAACTTGAATCATACTTCTCAAAGAAAACAGTACAATATGTGAAGAATGTATTTATTGGAATTTTTGTTTTCACCTGCTAGTCAGATATTTTGCCACAGCTGTGTGGCTTGTAAAACTAAACACACAGAACGTGTGTGTAATTTGGTCAGTGACCAAAAGAGGGCGTGATAGTTACCATTTACTATATATTATTATAGATGCTTTGTTTTTGTTTTGTTTTGTTTTGTTTTGTTTTTACCTATCTAGAACCGTCATTTGATACTTTAGTCAATTAAAATATCAGATTTCATAATCTTAAAATGTATTCTTTTAGCATTAATTAATTTAGATATCTAATCTTGTGATTTCTAAATTTATTTAGAAATCACCTATAGGTTGTTTTTATTGAATCGCTATCAGAACATCAAAATGTTTGTTTTCTGTTGTTTATAAATTAAATCTGCCATAATAAGAAATGCAGAACAGCTTTTATAGACTTCCAAAAGATTTTGGGAACATGGGAGGAAAGCCTCGATAGAGTTTGATTCTATTAATTCCAGGCATCATTTAATTCAATTTAAAGTAATGTGTAGACTGCACTACACAAAATCTAAGTTACACCAAATTTTTCCTACCATTTCCCCTACATGTGTAAGTCTGCTGAAGTCTCCCTGACCCACCTCTTTTGGACATGTCTAAAACTTTATGATTTCTGGTGTGACATATTTAAATAGTTTTCTGATATGAATGGTTTTACCGTTACACCTCACCCAGACATTTCTATATTTTGGTTTTCTCGTTTTCTGCTGGATTATAATGTGTCCATACAAAACACCATCATTTATGGAATGATTATTGCCAAGAAGTGGGTGGCGCAGTAGGTAGCAAGTTCACCTCGCAGCAAGAAGGTTGTTGATTTGAGCCTCAGCTGGGTCAGTTGGCGTTTCTGTGTGGAGTTTGCATGTTCTCCCCGTGCTGGCTGGGTTTTCTCTGGGTGCTCTGGTTTTCCCCCACAAGTCCAAAGACATGCGCTGTAGATAAATTGGGTAGGCTAAATTGTCCGCAGAGTAGAGTGTGAACGAGTGTGTATGGATGTTTCCCAGTGATGGGTTGCAGATGAAGGACATCCACTGCGTAGAACATGTGCTGGATAAGTTGGTGGTTCATTGCTTAGAGTGTCATTCTAAAACTGTGGAAATCAGAAAACTAGACTTATTATTATTAGAAAACTAGACTTATTATTATTATTAATTATTGTGGAGCTCTTTTTTTTCTCCCCCTTACAAAAATAAATAATAATGTAGACTATGTGTCCACACTTTTGTATGCTTTCATCTGTTATTTCTTGATGTCTGGAAGATATCCACATGTTGTAAAAACTATGGTAATGTATTATAAACCACGTAGTAAATTGTATAATGTGTACAGTTCTTTGTTAATAAATGCTGCAGAATACTGTAGCATAGTAAACTGATCAACTTTAATAAATACTGTAATGTTAGAGTGAACTGGTGCATTGTGATATATAGTTATAGCGAAGAAAACCTAAAAGTATTAAAGCCTATTAAATAATTTGTTTATTACTTCAGTTATGTCGTACCACAGCAACAATGTATTTACTACCATAGTTTATTTCCAGTAATTACCTATAGTATGCTTCCAAATGCTATAGTATTTACTATAATATTTTTTTTATGTAACGTAGCTTATACAGTATCTACCGTCTCGATGATGATGGCAAATATATTTTAGTTCAGTTGAAAACTCGGCCCTTTTCATTATGTAGGGATAATGCCCAACATATGTGATTATTTCTATTTCTATTGTATATTTTATCATATCAATTATTATATAATTTGTTAATAAAAGCAATATGCCACTGAAGGTTTTACTGTACCGTAAATAGACTAACTGCTAACTCTTCATAGTTTATTGCTTAAACGAACACCCTGTATTCTCTAACTGTAAGAAGAATCACGTGGAAGATGTATACAGTATTGGCCTTGTCTGTTTGATTTACATCAGTGTTAACTGAGAGGCGCAGAAATGTCCTCCAGACTCTGTTAATGGTGCTTTATGGATTTCAGTAACCTCTGTACACTGCAGTTAAATGTCATTAGCCATGCCACAAATAAAGAAAAAGCAGCACGGCTAATGGCGAAGTATTTGCCTTCTCTGCCAGCCTTTTCTCCGCTCGATAAATGGATCTAGGTGGGGACAGTTAGACGTCCATCACCAGTTTTCCTGTCTAATCTGTGATTTAGATTTCTTTTGTCATATTTGAAGCAATATTTGTTCTGGCCGGCTGCACATTGGAGCCTCCTCCACTCTACAGAGCTCACAGGGGCGTTAATAGAGGATAACATGGATCAGGGGGGCCCATGGCGGGCACGTTTGAGGTTCCATAGTTGTTAAAGTGTTTAACAAAAAGAGGCATAGGAAAAAGAAAGTCACAACATTTGTAGGGGTGTCTTACTAGATGTTGCATCCTGTCGTTAAATATTTATGAATGAAATAGAAAAAGCTAAAAGACTGAGATTAGAAATGTGTACATGACATGTCATTCATTTTCTCAATAAACATAACCCCAGATTTACATTTACATTTACATTTAGTCATTTAGCAGACGCTTTTATCCAAAGCGACTTACAAATGAGGACAAGGAAGCAATTTACACAACTAAGAGCAACAATGAATAAGTGCTATAGGCAAGTTTCAGGTCTGTAAAGTCTAAGAAGGAAAGTATTAGTAGTTGATGAAATGGATATTTTAAATTTGCCTTAAAATCACAGCGTTGATGTGTTTTGGAATCATTTTTAACGAGTTGTTTTATTGTAGAGCTGTAAAACAGTACAATTAAGAAATAAAACAGCTGTTTTAATCTATCTTCAGCATCTGACCAGAGAGTCAAAGTATAAATGGAACTAGAGCACCATCTGTGGAAGTTTGTGATCATAAACATAAACAAGGCTTTGCACCAGGGGTCTCGAACTCAAACTGGTGTGGGGCCATATCAGTGGCTGACAATTCATAGGAGGGCCATTTTAACATTCAAGCACAAAAAAAAAGTGGAAACCTGACGTAATTGATGCACTTAGACATTCTTCCCCAGAGTATATGCAGTCAAAGCTCCTTTTTGTGTGTTTTTGTGCATATTGAAGGGGTAGTTTGAATTGCTATGAAAAATATTACAATTTAATAATAGGCATAATAATTATAATTATGTCTCAATCAATTGTTACTTAACCAAAAGTTTTACAGATAGCGTAAGATAGCAGAAAGAAGGCTGGGTAACTTTGGTGACTTTACTGGTAATTGTTCTTCTCAATAGCTTTCTTTTTTGTAAACCTGCAACAAAGAAGAGGAAATATGTATATATTCACATTTACTTTAAGATGTTTTATTTAGCCAGCAGTAAAACTTTACTAATGCATATTTTTATACAAATCTTAATATGCATATGAGAAATATCTTGTCAATGAGACCATTTAAATCAAATATTTGCAAAATGATCTTAATAACACCATAAGCAACGTAGATGTGTTTGTACAACAAAACACAGGTGTTTTAAAAGTGATAATAATCAAATTATTTGAATATTTACCTTGAAAACTACAAAGTGGCTATATGTGGCTGCACAACAGTGATTGTGATTCAAAAATATATATATTTTTTGATGTCAGTTGCGGGCCGGAGGGAGGACCTCAAATGACCCAGCACACCTAATTGGAAACCCGGCAGTTTGAGACCCCTGCTTTATACACTGTTTGGGAAGCTCGGTAGATTCTAGGATTTGCTGTTGTTGGGGCAGCTTATGTGTGTCATTCATTCATTCTTATGTGTGTCCTATTTGTATTGAAAAGGGTATTATAGAACCTTTCTCAAATATAATTTCTTACTTGTCTAGGTTGAATCAGTTCCACATGGAGTCAGTCGGGACAGGTTAAGTTCAGAAGCTGCTTCTGCCCAAGAGAAGGGGGGTCCCACTGTCCCAGCACACCTAATTGGAAACCCTTACCCATTTGGCTTGACGCCTGCATCTGTGATGCAAGACTCACGCTTTCAACCACTTAAGTGAGTATTACTGACCTCTTCTCTTTTCAAGAGTGCTCCTGTATTCTTACTTCAATTGTCATCATCACTAAAATACACAGACAAATAAAAACAAGTGAAAGTGAAAAGCACTTGAGCTATTTATTCATTATGGTTAAGAGAACTATAGCGTTCCACTTTGAGTAATAAAACCAATCTTTTGTAACATGGTCAAAAGATTTTGCAGTGTAGTCTCGAAAAGTGTTTGTTCACTGAAGTCTCACTTACAGGTTATTAATGCCATTGCATCAGATGATCAAATATCATTGCTAGTCTTGTTCAAGCTAAAATTGGCATTGGGTGTGGAGAAACCTTAAAAGTCTCCAATGCAATTTCATGAACATCCTCTTTTTTTTATTGTCTCATTGTTTTTAATTCTCGTCTTGTGTTTCACTTGTAGCCTGCCCCGTCAGATGCCCCATGCAGTGCCCACGGCCAGTGTTCCTGAGGAATATTTGAGAGGGTTTCGTCCTTATGCCACTGCTGAGGAGCTCCGTATGCCCTCCTTGCCACTGGGGCTTGATCCTGCCACTGCTGCAGCTGCTGCTGCCTACTACCACCCTGGATATCTGCCTCATCCCTCCTTCTCTCACTACAGGTACACAAACACAAAACCACTAATACAATTAAACACCTACAGACATTAGCTTGTCATGATAAGGGATATTGTTCTGTTTTTGGCTTGCAGACTTTATTATATAGCCTACTTATTTATGACAACTAATGAATGCCACGTTTCCCTAAAATTGTTTCTCAATCGACCACTTGTCATATTATTAACTTTTTTTGAACTTGTAGGTTATTCCAACATTTATAACAATTGCAGGGAGGTTGCCTCCCTTGTCATTCAAATCATGTGTATGAAAGCCATTTGGGCTTTCCTGTAAAATATAATGATGTCGGAAAAGGTTGCAGTGGTACCTACCTAAATGCTTTCTTAGGCTATTAATTAAAGGTGTTTTCTGTGACTGTTTGTTTAGCGTGCATTAATGCTTTCAGTTTAAGCTGCACAATTAAACATTAAAAGATCAGGATCTCAATTCAAACCCACGCATCATGAATGATAAATAAATGATAATGATTTGCATATGTTCATTAATCCTTTTAAGCTCTGCATTCAAATCTGCGTTTGATTGAGAGATTCAGTTTTTACACTTTTTCAGTTAGTTACAAACAATTAAATAACACAGAAGTGCTGGAATAACAGTATAAAATAAAAAAATAATACATCTATAATGAAACATGAAGTTTTATGTGTGAACTGTTTAATCATTAATTGAAAATAAACATGATATGTTGTACAAGATGTTAGATTTCTAAATTTAGCATTATCAGCAACAGTAGCAAAGAAATTTTTTCAGCTGGTTCTTTCTTGATTACATTTTTTTTTAAATGACAGGTTCTAGATTATTTTTGTTTAGACCAATGCTTTTTGTATAAAAGAAAAGCAAATTATATTTGTCTCCTTTTTTTGCTGATGCGAAAAATGATTTGATCCGTGACTCAAAAACCGTACTGTGATCCGAATCGTGAGATTTATGATCCTTTACACCACTACTTTAGGGCTTGCTAGGTATTGCTAGATGCTCAGAAATACAAAGCAATGTTTTGTAAAAGCCACATTGTTTGAAAAAAATTTATGAGCGATGTTTTCTGTCTGGCATACAGGTGATAATTACATTTGCCACATTACTATATTACATCTAATGGGGTCACTGCATTAAATTCAAAAACATTTTGTAAGTTATAGATCTTAAACTTCTTCCCTAGTCCTCCCACCTTCCAATTCATGCTTTTTGTAGGAGTAAATGCAACAAGCCAAAAACAAACCAAACAAACAATAACTCGAGCAACAAACTGATACACATGCCTCTATGGATTATATGACATTGTGCAGTGCTGAGTTGTGGATAAACATGTTGTGTTGCATCCTCTAACGTTGGCTGGAAGCTTAAAGCAAAGTGACTATTGCAAATCTATTTCTGCTTCATTTCAGAAATAACTTGGACACTTGGATGTATGTTAGAAATAGAATAGGTGTCAGTTTACTGTCAAGGATTTGTTGTTTAGAGTAGATAAAATCTCTGAGTATAATGGATTTATAATGATTTTTAGTTGCAATGCACCAGATTGTTCACATTCAGTGTGAAACAAATTTGATATTTAAAAAAGATTGTAATTGCGTATGTCTTCAGAAAGACCTTAAATTCACTGCAGATTTTTTTTAAGCAGGTCAGTTCAGTGTGAGCAGAAATGTTTACAATGTGTCTCTTTTGATACATTTTTTAATCAAGATGACTCGTCAGTGCCCATCTACAGAGTTCCTGCAGGGTCTTAAAATGTCTTTAATCTCAAACTTAAATCTTTAGGCCTTAAAAAGGTCTTAACTTTACTAAAATACTGTGTTGTAGGTCTTAAATATTTTTAAAACAGCTTTAAATATTCCTTTGTTTATGTATTGCTACCCAATCTGGCCAAAACCCATACAATCACCAACAATCTATCCCAGTGAAACTTTTTATTTAAAAAGGTAATTTTTAACTCTATTTATCATAATGGTTTAATTATTTTTCCTACAATAACATTTGTTTAAAAGTTTTCCATGTATTTACTGCTGAGGACACCGACCTGGTCAGATTGTTGTCCATAGATTTAGTTTATTATACTTTTTAAAACATTTGTTAAATTTTTTTATTTTAAAGAAAGTTTATGTTGGGAAAAAAAGTATATGGAGATAAGTAGAGCTTGCTTGTTTTTACACAATATTTAAAATATTTAGCTAAGAAATAAAATCTAAAATATTTTAATGGTTTATTATTAATGTATTATTGTACTTTTAAATGTATTAAATTATAATAATTTTTTGATAAGTCACATAATAATCTTTTTATTAAAAGTGTTTCAAAGAGGATCTGCTAATTGTAAGTGTGTATAAAGTATATTTATGTCTCTCTTAGAATGGACGATCCATTCTGTCTGTCAGCGCTGAGGTCGCCATTCTATCAACTGCCTGCAGGAGGTGCTTTACCTCCTCTACACCCCTCTGCAGTACACATGCACCTGCCTGGAGTGCGTTACCCTGGAGACCTAAGCCACCCCTCGCTGTCCAGCCTACAATCTGAGCGCTTGTCCGAACGGTACGCACAACCATCCGGAATTATGCTAACAGAAATCTGTAAATGTATTAACACCTCTTGTCGTCACATCAGTATCTAACTAAATGTAATAATATGAATATTTTTTTCACATTTATTAAATAATTACATTTTTCAGAAGTGTTTTCTCCACAAGCTAATTTTCGAGCAGCATAGCTGTAATGCTAAGTAGCTACTTCTTAACCTTTATTAGTGCAGATCCACTAGTCAGCATTTATGAAACATCAAGTTTAAAATTGTGAAAAATGAAAGCACAACATTCGCAAAAAAACACACATATGTGCAATATGTTTCTGTGGTTTGAGCTTGTCTGTGTGTGTGTGTCTCCACAGACTCCAGATGGAGGATGAGCTGCGACAGAGAGAAAGAGAACGGGAGCGAGAGCGAGAGAAAGAGAGAGAACGAGAAGCCGAACGAGAAAAGGAGCGTGAACGAGAAAGGGAGCGAGAGAAGGAGCTTGAGCGTGAGAGGGAGAGAGAGAGGGAACGAGAGAGGGAGAAAGAGAGAGAGCGTGAGAGGGAGATGGAGCGACAGAAGGAGAGGGCAGCACGAGAGAAAGCTGCGGAGAGCCATTATCTGACTGAGCTTCACGGGCTGAGAGGAGCACCAGACGACAGAGCCAAACCTGACAGAATCACTAGCAACAGACCTGGTATGAACATTGGTTCAGATGTGCCAAGCTACAAAAATCTGTATGAATGCTTGTGTGAATGTAGCACGTCTTTCATTTGATTAGTTTTAGCAATTGTATACTGTGGTTTAAGCACATGGTGAAATCTTATTACCACCTTATTAGGTGTAATTAGATGGTATTTCACCACTGAGGAACTAGGCTATGTTTTGGATGAGAACATGTATATATTTATAAAATAATAATGATGATGACCATATTAAAAAGAAAGTAGGTCATCAACAATAAAAAAATACAAAAATAAGGAAGTGAATGTCTGAAATGTAATATATTTTATATTTACGGACCAACCACTTAAGTCCTATTGGAATTGCTCCATTTGTTTTTATTATTTTTCTTTTCTAGAATGAATCGCATTTTTGAGGGTCTAAACATGCTCGAAAACTCATGAAACTTTGTACACGCATTATAATTGGCCAAAATTGAAATTTTTTTATAGGTTTCGGACAACACCACCTATGCACATTTGACGGAGTGGCCCCCAAGCTAAATTTCACACACACGTACGAAAGTTGGCACACACATAAAACATGCCAATATCTACAAAAAAAAAAGTCTCTTGGAGCAAAATCCATAACCTAAGAGGAAGTCGGATATTTTTAACTTCCTCTTCCGAAAATTGCAGTTTTTGCCATTTCCAGGCGTTGAGGAACTCCTCATAGGGATTTGATCAGATCAATACCAAAACTTGGTATTGTCATCTAAAGACATGGCCCAGATGTTAAATTGCCCAGATGTAGAGTTCCCGTGGAAGGGTGTGTTTGTAGTGACCTGACAAACTTTTATGTTTCGCCACTAAGCAGAAAGTTTTTAGAACTCAGGCATGCATTATTCAATCTGCCTCAAAATCTCGTTTGATTAGAGTCCTGACCTGAACAAATTTACATATCAATAACAATCATTTCAAATATCATTGATAAAATGATCACATTTTTTAGGTATCCTCAATATTAGTGAGATTCACTGTGCTGCTTTTGCTCAATGTAGCTGTATTTTTATGTTACAATATAGCAGACATACAGTAAAGTAACTGTAAGTAAACCAATATAAGCATTAATGGATGTTTGCAATTGACACAAAAATTAAAGGGGGAATTTCCCTTTACGGTGAACCTGAACACAACAATCAACAGGATGAAGTACGATTGGGTCTCAGGCATATTTTATTGAATTTTAAAATCATGTACCTCCAGTTTATGCAGCTAACGTTATCACTATATTTGTGTTCCCCAGAAAAAACCAAAGAGTCCATTCTTACAACTCCTAAACCCATCCAACCTGGAATTCACCAGTCTCTGAACTCCACCCACCATCCTGTGCCCAGTCTCTCCTCTGCTCATGGTTTGTATCTGGGCCCTGGAGGGGCAGGACCCACCAGCTTGACGGTGGCCACAATGCTACAGCGTACTGAGGAAGAGCGCTGGTTGGCACGGCAACGTAAGCTACGGCAAGAGAAGGAGGACAGGCAGTACCAAGTGTCAGAGTTCCGACAGCAGGTCCTAGAGCAGCACCTAGACCTGGGCAGACAGGGGGAAATTCCAGACATGAATGTAGAAGGACACAGGTAAGGGCATTTTTTACACCGGAGATAAGTGTGATACATGCTTGGTTTTTACTTGTACAGTAATCAAATTATAGAGATGTTTTAAAGGGCACCTATGATGAAAATCTCTTTTGTAAGCTGTTTGAACACAACTGTGTGTAGATATAGCGTGGCCACAGTCATACTGGAGTGATATAAACAAATTAAGTCTCTTTTTTTATTATTTCCTGCTGTTAACTTAAGATCCAAACCCCTCCCATTTTAAGGCCCACCGCAATGTGATGTAGGAGTGAGGTTTCCCTGCCCACCAAATTGATTGACAGCCGCATATTAACATGTCTCCATAGTAACGCGTATAATCATATCAACAAGACAGGACATGCGCAAAGCAACTGGGATTAAAAGATCTGTTTAGCTCTCTGTGATCATCAATGATCATCAAATGTAATCAAGAACGAGTTTAACAGGTTTGAAACCTTTTTAAAACAGTGCATGTTTAATGAATTACAGCAATTTTACTATCTTTACTTGATCACCACAGTGATGTCAGTACAATTATAAAAGAAGATGCTTCAATCCAGGTTTGTTATACAGTGGTGTATATTAACGTGTATCCTGTCACATTTGAAAACAGCTACATTGTGTTTAAAGCAGAAAATTTCAATATACTGAAAGCTATAATAAATAATCTAATGGGTGTTTTGAGATGTACCTTTGCAGACACATTCTGGAGACACAAAAGAATTACTTAAATCTTGAAAAAGAGGTAAAATAGGAGCCTTTAAAAGATAAGAAAAAATTGTAATGATAGTAATAAAAGTACTCAGCTCACACTGTCAAATCTTCAATGTCACTTTCAAGTGCTGTTGTGTGTGAGTTGCATTTTAGGATAGTAATGTATTGATAAAAAATACTGGATAATATTATTGTGCAGCACTGATAAAGCGTTTCTTCTTTTAGACCTGTACCAAACCATCATGAGCCAAGCAGCAGAGATCGTGACAGAGACAGAGATTCTCATCCACTCCTGGGAGCTCCACCTCCTCTTATCTCCCCTAAACATCAGCACAAAGACCATGCGCCCCCACCACCGACCACCCTCTGGAACCCTGCAGCACTCATCGAGACCTCTACTGACTCTAGACGCACCTTGCATGACCCTCCGAGTCTGGGTCATTACGATATCAGCCGGCTTCCCCTGCCCCCCTCCAAACACGAACGCCATTACAACTCTGAAAAGCTGGAAGAAGGATCCCGGAAGAGAGACAGTCTGGATAAATACCCTCCTATTCGACCAAGTGGATTCTCTGAGCCAAACACTTTCCTAGCAGAGCTGGAAAAATCCACCCAGAGCTTCCTAAACCAGCAAAGGGCACCGTTGAGTCTGTCAGGACCCTACGGAGAGCTGAGCGCTGGCTTTAAGTCCAGCGGACCTTTAAAGAACCTTCAGGGGCATTCACGTCTCGCGCCGGATACAACGTTAGTTTATGACGAGTTCCTGCAGCAGCATAGACGAGCGGTCAGCAAACTGGACCTAGAGGAGAGAAGACGCAGGGAAGCCAGAGAGAAAGGTAAAGTGAGGTGTTAACTTTGTATGTTATCAGAGGCTGAAAATCTTCAAACAGCTCAGGAAATGTCATTGCCACAAACTATTGGTTGTGGGTAATAGATGGTGTTTCTTCAATAACTGGTAGTGATATCTAGAGAGCAAGAGATGCACTTCAGATGAGCCATACATTTCAGTGTCAGCAGTTGAGATAAAGAGACTAGGACTGGGCAATATGGCAAAAATGCAATCTTGATCAATATTTTCCATATTAAATGATAACGATATATATTTCGACATAAGTTGTTAATGCTTCCAGATTTAAGAGTACCCTAACTATAGCTACGTTTCCATCCACTTATTTTTATGCACATTTTGGATATGCACATTAAAAACAGTTGATAGAAACACCAAGATGCGCATAAAAAATGAATGTGCATAACTAAGTAGGATAAACGTTTTTTTCAATAAGAAGAGTATAAACTACGATGGAAACACTATTTCCGAACAAAATTCAGTATGCCCAAATAAAAAAAGGTCATGTGATTTTGTTATAGGAGATCATGTGATGATAAAAATGTGTGTGAATGGATAAACCAGCAGGCTGAGCACACTCTAAAACAGCTGAAATGTTGTTTTGGTCATTCTAAAACGCCGTAACCATTAAGAGTTATTATATTATTAAGAAGTGTTTGTACTCTGCGTTCACCGTGTATCAGGATTGCCTTCTGTGTAATTTATTAAATGAAGAAAAGATTCACCCAGCTTTTCCAACCGCATCTAATCCCGTTTTACTGTTGATTTTTGGGGCCAGATAATTAGGAACTGATGATTTTGTTCGCTTTGACTTATTAGATGGAAACACTTCTTTATTCGCACATCTTTTATGCGATAATCCAGTTTTTTGCATGAAGTTAATTCGCAATTTTGCATGGAAACAGCTAATGACTGAAGCCACAAAAATTAGAGGGTCCATTAAATGACCTACCATACTTTCGGCTGATAAATTTTGATTATTTTAGATAAATCTCTAATATCAACACACTTTTAGATTCCCATTGTTGCTCATTCCTGCTGTGTGATTGGCTCTTAGATTAATGTAAAGTAAAAATGTCTAGAGCTTATTGTTGTTTACATTAATTCTAGTGCGATTTGATATAATGTTGTTTATCGGTCCAGCCCTAACAGAGACAATTGACATGGATAGTATATTGCTCTATACTAAAACCTGTGGTATTGCACACAGTTCTTTCAGTTATATGATTAGCCAATAAATATAGTCCCATCTGCAGATTAACCCGAAAGTTAATTCAGTTCAGTTTTATTAGTATGTGAACACTCTACTATACTGTACTGCACAAGTTTTGCATTGCGCCGACACTACATTATTTGTATATTACATTATTATTGAGTACAATATTCGGGCTTTAATCGTGGTGTTTTCCTGTGAGTAAAGCTTAAGTCCTTTGAAGTTCTTTTTTAAGAGTTGAAGAGTGATCCACAATATTTTGATTAGGTTATTACTATGAGCTGGACGACTCCTATGATGAGAGTGATGAGGAAGAGGTGCGAGCTCATCTCCGGAGGGTTTCTGAACAACCACCGCTCAAGCTGGATGATTCCACAGAGGTAACACATGACTATCAGAATACTACTGGCAAGAATTGGTTCTTTGTTTAGATTTTTAAATAACGTATTATACCATCACCCCCTCCCATATCCATACATCTATTTATTAATCAAAACACCTCTATCTTCTTACAGAAAGTGGAGTTTTTAGAGATGTTTGACCTGACTACCCTGGCCCATCGAGAGGAGATGATGGAGGTGAAAAGGAAAAAAAGGAGGCGCATGCTAAGAGAGAGGAGTCCCTCCCCACCAACTGTGCAGAACAAGCGGCCCACTCCTACACCCCTACTAACCCGTTTCACTCCAGAGGACATGAACAACAGCCCAGAGCTAGAAGACAAGAAACGTTTCCTCACCATCTTCAGCCTCAACCACATCACACAGCAGCAGAGAAGAGGTACTCATAGTGTGTAATATGTTCATAATTAGGGATGTCTTGCTTAGATTTTTTTGCCCTTGAGTCCAAGTCAGAGCCATTTGATTTTGATTATCTACCAATACAGAAACCCAATTCGATACTATAATGCATAAAAAAAAAGATTAAGAAGATCAAAGAAACAGATCCAGGATGTTCCTTTTTTTTATTTAGTTCACTTTATTTTAACATTGAACAACTCTGTTAACAAACAAAGCACTTATGTGAGGTAGCTTGAACAATCAAGTTATTGATAACATAAATTCTTCACTTTTAGACTTTACTGCGATAGTAAATAAAAAAAAATCTAATATAAAAACAAAGAGCACCTCAACTCAAAATACCCGGCAGGTAATCCCAGGTTTACATATCTCACAGTTTGCCATGGCAATGTTGTCATCATCAACTTTATAATAGCTCCGGACCGCAGACGTACTTGGCTTTCCGCTTTAAACTGCTTCCGTGTTCTATTTTGCTGCCATTTAGTCTGAAACTGCGTGATCAGGCCCAATTTCCGATCATGTGATCAGATCAGGACATCCCTGTTCATAATGCTTTGTATGTATTTTTTTCCCCCTGGTGGCACTCTACAGTTTACTTCATAGTCATATAATACAATTTAAGGTAGGAACAGCAATGGATGGTTCAAGCCTCATGTGGACTGTGCGAAAGCAGCATTTCGGTCGACTTAAGGCTGGTTTTTACTTCTACGTCGAGTGATCGATATGACCCATGTGGCATGCCTTGCACGTTGCTGTGCATTTATACTTCTGTGTGCCGTTTGCTACCTTAATGTACAAGTAGCTAAAACTCGCTCATTCTGAGACGGGAACCGGTAGACATGCAACAAATTTAATCATAAGGTAAACACAAAACAGAACTTTCTGCCTGGAGCTTCTTCACAGGACTCTACACTTGTAAACACATGCTAAACTGCCCACACTCATCAGTGCTACCAAGCCGACCAATCACAGAGCTTTTGCTGCACGTCGTTGTGACATGTAGTTAAATTTTTTGAAAGGTGTGCTTCAGTGTCAGTCATGGTGAGGGCGAAGGCTGTGCGTTTGACGCAGAAGCATAAATCAGTCTTTGGAGATGTCGACAGCACACAACCAAAACTACCGCTAATGTCTTGTTCTTTTACTTTGTTTTAGATAACGAGAGGGTTGAGGAGTTGTTGCAGGCCATAAAACAGAAGAGTGTGACTCTAGACACCATCAGACACAACCCTCACCCGCTTTGCAGAAGTCCTGCAGCCCATAGCTCAGGTTAGTTTGCATTGCTCTTCATCATGTGAATGCATGTACATTTGTTTGTCCCTCCAGTGACTTGTGTTTTCAGCACACTTTCTGGTTTATCTTAAGTAATACAATGCTTGGCAACTTACTAACTTACTAGAACTACACCAGCATTCTACCACTATTCTGCTTCTTGCCTGATATATTGAATATGTTCTACAAAAATGAAATATTGTCATATCCTTACCTTTTTTATCCTTGTACAATCTATATTGTATAGAGTGCTATAGAAATGAAGGTGGCTTGACTTAGTAGCTGATGGTAACACATGTTTTGCTTTCTCAGCTAATTGTCATGACACATACTGAACCTGTCATTAAAATTGTTTTTTGCAGACCAGTCATCTCAGTCTCCAGTCCAGTCTGAAGAACTGCTGAATGGATGGCCGCTCAGTCCATCGCCGTCTGTGTCTATTCCACAGCCTTCAGCAGACCCTCTCTCCATCTCAGATCAGCACAGACCTCTCTCAGACCCCCCGAAACCTAAAGACTCTTCCTTGCCTCCTGCATTACCTGACAAATGTCGAGCCAATGACAGCCTCCCGGGCAAGAGCTCCAGTCTGCTGAATAGTCTCCGACAGCCCCCATTTGCTAAAGAAAGTTCTGTCAGTGTCAACGGAAAGACTAAACCCTGGGAGAACTTCATTGCTGAGGAGTTTGCCCAGCAGTTCCATGAATCTGTACTGCAGTCCACACAAAAAGCACTGCAGAAGAGTAAAGGTAGTCAACAGCTCCGATTCTTATTGCTTGCATACATATATCAATATTTTTCTAACTTAAACTGGAAATTATACAAACTGCCTGAAGCCGTGTTAATTTCATCAGTGGATATAAAGGTGGAAAATTGTTGTTTTTGTTTATAGCCTGACAAACAAACCGTTCCTCTGCTCTAGTAGTGTGACTGAAAACTATGAATGTGTGAGCTCATTAGTGGTTCACAATTCCAGTCCTCAGTACACTCTGCCTTGCATATTTTGTATAGGTGCGTCCCAAATCGCATGCTTATGCACTATTCTTTGCCATTTTTTTGTATAAATAGTGTAAGTACACACTGAAAACTCTAAAAAGAATAAGTGCACTTTAAATACCCGGATAATGCTCTTATTCAACTGTTAAAATGAAATATGGAATGTTGGACACTTCACGCAGTTAACGGCCGCTGCTTTGCTCATGGTTCTCGTGAAGCTTTTGGTCCCTGATGTTGGATAACTTTATTTATTTTGGATTTTGAAAGCAGTATTCTCCTACGAGAGTTATTATACCACCTCCCAATGGTGAATGCAATTATACTCATGGCAGATATTATTTCGGATTTTGTTTATTTATTTCACAAATTTGGCAACTGTCAAACGTCATCTGGGAAACGGTTTGAATTTCCGCTTAGAAAAAAAACTGTTCTATTTGGGTCGACACTTCATACATATACTATGCTGCTGAGTGTGTAGGTGCATAATGTATAGTGTGCCATTTGGGATACAGCTTATGTCTCTTTTCCTTAACACACAGGCATCAGTTTATGGATCTCTCTGTTAACAAGCTGATGATCTGATGTGAGGTGTGTTAAGTAAGGAAACATACAGAATGTGCTGGGCAGGGGGTTAGGAACAACTGATGTAATGAATGAACAGTGAATTATTGTTGACAGAAAAGGCACGAATAAAATGTAGTCAGGATAAAAACTAGCTAACATTCATTTTTGTTATAATCCACTGCTATCCATTGTTTTCTTAGATGAATGTATCAGAGTGCAGGTATTCAGTCACGTTACTTACTGTCGGGTTTCTGTTTGTCAAGCCATTTTTCTTGATAAAATGTAGCATTATTGAAATGTAACAGATGTGCCAATACAGGTTGCTTGGCACAAAATGGTGCACAAGATTAGTTCTGTTTTAGAAAATACAAGTAAATATATTTTGAATAAGGTTTTAGCGACTCCGCTTATATAATCATAACTGTCATTGCTAATAGACTTACTGACATAATGCAGTTGCCCTTTTGACATGTTCGAGTTCTGGCTTATGAACCTTTCCCAATCAAGCCCACCCTTTTTTTCTCCAACTTTGCTTCCTGTTTAAAAAGCGACCTATCTCGGCAAAAAACACCAAATAATGCATCTTTGAAAAATATAGTCATAAATGTAGATTTAGCAACCATGCTCAGCAACTAATAGTTTTACATTTGACAAGAGTCCAAAAAAGTTCCAGATATTGATAAATAATTTTACGACAGCTGTTTTAACGGTAACTTATGATTGAATTGCCTCTTATTACAGTTTTTAAATGGTTTGACAAAAAACAGGAAATTTTCATAGGCCAATAACATGACCACATTGAAATGGTATATTGGATCTAAATCAGGGTATATACAGAAATCAGACTTTTAAGACTCTGTCCATAAATGTTAAGAAGGGTTTTACCCGGTAACTTTGTTAACATTTTAATGTACAGTATATTTACTAAATACTGGTTGTAAGAAACTAAACAAAAACATTATTCATATACTGAATAAAAATGCTAATACACAAGATGGCGTCTACAGAACTGCAGGAATAACATTGTTGTCTTTGTTACAGCAGTAAACAAAGCAGTGCGATGTCAAATCTAGCAGGATTTTAATATTCAGATAAAATCAGGCAAACTTTAGCATACTGCTATACATTGTAGAATCAAACATGATACAAAAATGAATATCTTGTAGAAAAGCATTTAAGACTTTTTAATACGTTTCCTAAATCTCTCTAAATTAAATTGTCAACATTTAAAACTTTTTAAGACCCCGTGAACACCCTGTAAATGTCTCCTCTTTTATCAGGTGGTGCATTGGTCGTATTGGAACAAAACCATGCGGTGGACTCATCCGTGCATTATAACATTCCTGAGCTCCAGAGCACACCAGGCCGCTCCAAACCCCACCCACACCCTCCCTCATCTCAGCCCAACGGACAGCACTGCCCCCCACAGCCCTCTCGTCAAGAGCTTTCTGCAGAGGAATCTGAGGAAGAAGAAGAGGAAGACGACACTGAGGAGGATGAGCCCTCGACGTCCAGATGGCAGGGCATTGAAGCCATCTTTGAAGCTTATCAAGAGTATGCAGAAGGTACGACGTGTGGTCTATCTGCTTCTGTTGCATTTCATAGTTCTGAAAAACAACATGTATAGTATACAGTAGGAGCTGCTCCACACACACCTAAATTGTGTTGTGCTGGTGTATGTGATGTCAGGAGGCTTCTTGACACAGCTGTTTATCACAAGGAAACTGCATATGGAGGTCCCTGCATTTGGCAATACAGGACACTATCTCAGGCTTACCTCTTTCTCTTTCTGTCTCCAGAGCAAAGCATTGAACGCCAGGTTCTTCACAGTCAGTGCAGACGACTGGAAGCACATCACTATAATCTCAGTCTAACCGCTGAACAGCTCTCACACTCAATGGGGGTAAGGAACACATACACACTCTTAGACCTTGGTATTAGGGGCTGTTTATAGCTGGTCACTTCAGGTCTTTCCTCTGATTAGATAACTGTCTGATTTGGGAAAGCGGGTTCATTTACATTTCATTTGGCTACACAAAAGTGTCTCTGCTAAACAGATATGAGATTCCGATAATCAAATTCTGTGTTCTGTTCAAATTCACTTAGTTTATGTCGATTAAAGTCAGAAATGAGTTGTATATATTAATCCACACACAGTTGAAGTCAAAATTATTATTCCCCCTTTGAATTTTTTTCTTTTTTAAATATTTTCCAAATGATGTTTAACAGAGCAAAGAGATTTTCACTGTATGTCTAATAATATTTTTTCTTCTGGAGAAAGTCTTATTTGTTTTATTTCGGCTAGAATAAAAGCAGTTTTTAAATTTTTAAACACCATTTTAAGGTCAAAATTATTAGCCCCTTTAAGCTATATTTGTTTTCGATAGTCCACAGAACAAACCATCATTTTACAATAACTTGCCTAATTACCCTAACCTGTCTAGTTAACCTAATTAACCTAGTTAAGCCTTTAAATGTCACATTAAGCTGTAAGTTCAAGAAGTGTCTTGAAAAATATCTTGTCAAATATTATTTACTGTCGTCATAGTAAAGATAAAATAAATCAGTTATTAGAAAATAGTTATTAAAACTATATTTAGAAATGTGTTGAACAAATCTTCTTTCTGTTAAACAGAAATTGGGGGAAAAAATAAACAGTGGGGCGAATAATTCTGACTTCAACTGTACAACTGATTTCATATGTAGTCTATAGGAGGCTTTATACTTCATTTTTGATCCTGTGAAATATCTTTGAGTACAAGACACGATACAAAAACTGTATACTCTCACGAAAACAAAACAATGTACTTTTCTAAATGAAAGAACAGCTATATTTTTGACTATTTTCCCCTCTCTATTCACAAAGATAGTCTACTCCAAGTGTGATGCATCTTTCTGTTCTTAATGCTTGTATTTCATATTAATTTAATATTCAGATTTTATCATTTAATGGTAATAAACTGCTCAAAAACAGAATAAAATGGGAAAAAACTATCCCACAGTGGCATCTGTGATGTTGCGTGGTTGGTTGCATATATAGGCTATATGTTGTCATATATATGTTGTCGTTTATATGTCTTATCTTTTGAGAGGAGAATGTCGTTTCAATCACTCATTTAGACCTGTCCAGTTATGTCAGGAATGCGTCTCAGATCAGATTTATATCTGTCTCAAATGTGTTTGGGAGAGTATTTACACTTCCTCTTTTCACAATCGAATATCTATTCAATTCGAATAAATGCATGAAGTGACCAGGGCTGCATCTGAAATCGCATACTTCCATACCATATGGCAGGGGCGCCTGACGGATTTTATTCATAGGTACGCACATATCCAGCACCACCCCATCATCCCTTATTCTTATCTCAAAAAACACTGACGCTTGCTGTCAAAGGCTATTTTAAGGGCATTGCCCCGATTGAAACCCAAAATGAAAGCACATCATTGTATCATAATTTAATATATTTTTGTTGGTCAATAATAACAAATAACATCTGAGGTGAAGTGCTTCAATACCTCAAATTTTTTGGAAAAGTGAGAGAATTCAGAAACTCGTTGTGAAAATGAAGATGTCTGCTTATTTGTGCCAGATTAAATGTTTAAAACACCTTGAATGATACAGCAGTTCCATGCGAGAATGCTGCGCAGTTCCCCTGGCTCAGGTGCTGATGAACCTGCTGTCCCGTGTGGGGAAGCAATATTTGTCTTATTAGTTTTAGGCCTTTTTGCAAATGTCTCAATTATATTTAGCTGTATTAAAAAGAGTTAACTCATTTTGAACCTTGTTTTAAACAATAGCTCTCTGACTTGCAATTTTCAGTTTGCAGAAAAACCAGCAGCAAATCTAAAGCCAATAGATTTCTTTTTACCCATCTCCAAGCCATGCAAATACATACACACTTTAAAACGCACACCTTTATTTATTCTTATTCTTTCTTGCTTCATCAATATATGGTAGTGTATACTGTTTAATAATCAAGTAGTTATGTAAAAATAAATAAATAAATAAGCTGCATTAATTTGCGCCCTCTCATGGTAGGTATGCATAGTGCATACAGACGTACGGCTAGATACCGTACCCAGATGCCCTACTTCCGGCGAGATTTTAAAGTGCACATTGGATGGCCGCTACGCTATCCCATGATGCCCCATGAGAGAATTCATGCATGGGAGTGAAGCGAAATAACTCACACGGGTAGGTCACTTGATTATGACAAAATGGTGGATGTTGTACATCCGAGTTCCAATCATACTGTTCACATTCATACTATATAGAACATACTCTTCTAACGGCCGAGTAGCACTGTTAAATTCAAATGCAGCACCTATTGAGTATTAGCCGGTTTCAGAAGCAGCCCAGGTGTAAACAGCCCCTAAGAATTGCTCACCTGTGATCACCAGTGTTCGTGAGATGTTAGGCAGCTTTCAAGCAGGTGGGAATGAATGTGAATGACAAGCAGTTGTTGTTGTGATGCTCATTGTGTCGATGTGCATTGTGTCTGTAGGAGCTGATGGCTCAGAAGCAGAAGCTGGCAGCAGAGAGGGAGAACCTGCAGGCAGAACTGGAGCACTTTAAAAAGTGTTTGACGCTGCCACAGAGCCCCTGGTCTAGGGCTCACTTTAAGGGCTACCCACCCAGGTGACACCCTATGGGACCACTGACCACCACCCCCCAATGTCCCTTCCAAACCCCCAACACCCAGACTCATACTCCATCCTAGAGATGGTGAGGAACAGTAGATCTGGCCATTGAGTTTTTCCTCCCTCTGACGCCCTCCTGTGGGAAAAACCATGCATGAGCACGTCAAAGCCTCCCAATGCATCCATCTCACAAAGACAACAGCCATAGCGCATCACAGCGAGAGGAAGAACGCCAGTCAAAACACACATCCACACACCTGCAATCTTCTTTACCATGGAGGTCATGCCTAGAAATGCACTTAAAGACATGAAAGGAAAAAAAACCTGAAGAACTGTCTGTGTTCTGACAGACTCTTTTAAATCTTGGGAAGGAAAACGCATCAGATGGATTAAAAAAAAGAAAGAAAATTTTTATTTCAAGATTTAGAATAAAGTTTTTTAAAGAGGTGCTTCAGCATTGTATTGTAAATAATTTCAAAACAAGAAAAAAGAATTTTGTATGTTTTTAATTACTTAAAAGCGTCGTTCTTTGGAAGAAGAAGAAAAAAAAGCCTGCCATTTTGTTTTCTAATATATTCATGTTTTGGGGGGCGTGAAGCAAAAGGTTCACTTTCAGCGTTTGCTCTGCTGCTGGTCAGATTAACTTTTTCAGGACTCGTGGAGTGATGACATCACTTCCTTTCTGCCTGAATTACAGTAGCAATGACACGGGACCTACCGCCAACACTTTTCTTCTTATCCCATAAGGCCATGTAATCATTGGATAACTTTAGCCCTGCATTCTGATGACATATATGTGTTTGTGACACAGGAAATCTCTACGTGATCACCTGTCTCTCAACGTTCTGGACTGCTACACGAGTTGTTTTAGTGGCGAAGCAGCATGCAGCCTCTTTGCTTTTCCGATTCCTGCATTCAGTTAAAGGGGCGCTTAATCCAAAATCTGCGTCAGAGGAATTGACATGCTCAAAAAGTAAATCCTAAGAAAAAAATACAATTCGTTTGATAAACAAAACAGTTTTGCCATTGACAATTAATGTGCCAAAGTCTGAGGTGGTGGCATGCCAAAAACAGAAACAAGTCAAGAAACAAGAATTGAGTCAGTCCTGCTGTCAGACACAATTGGAAACCATCCAAAGAAATCTGCCTCTCTGAACACGTTCTTGTTTGCCAAGTTATTTTTTTTATATAATACCCATGGCTAATCAATCACATTTTCTCATCCCACAAGTCACTGACGAAAATCATCAATATGGGCCTTAACATGTATGAACTCTGACTGCCTGTAATAGCTTTTCTTTTCTACCTTTTTGTACTGTTCTGTTAGATGTAGAAGCTGGAATGACACACCTGTTTGTTTCCTGGCACTTACCCCTACCCTTCATATGTGTGTATGGCACAGCACGCAGTTACAAATCAACCACACACACACACACACTCGCGCTATTTCTGATCTGAATTCACTGCAAGGGTGAAACATCTCGAATGCATCTTCATGAAGCACAGGTGAGGTGTTTGCTTGCACTGTTGTTTATTTCAGCCATGCGGACCCCGAGCAGGTGTGCCATCAGTTTGATCATTGTGTGTGTAAATCTGCATCACATGAAGTACTACCACTGCCCAACACACACACACACACACACACGCATATATACACTCGCCCTGAAACTCAGTGGAGGACGTTAGATGCTGTGAAACCATGTTTTTGTTTTTCTATTTTCTTCTTTTTTTTTTATGTACTTGTTTGAATCCATTGTAATGTAATATATTCTTTGTTGAGTGTAGTAATTAGGTATTTATGGATATATTGCTGTAATTTCAGACAAAAAATTAAATATTTCAAAAATGTCTTTGCCACTCTGAGATTTCTTCATTATTTAATATACTGTATCTATGTACAGTTCATGTTATAAAAGCTGTACTGTATTGCTTGTACAAGAGACAGTTGAATTATATGCACAAAGAACTTATTCAAGTATAATCATTGACCAGTGGACTTAAAAAGCTCAACACGTAAAAACAAACTATACCAGTTCTTGATCTTTCATGACCAAATATGAATATTCTAAACACTGCTCAGTGTTTAAACGTGAATACACTTCCTGTACACAAAAGAACCCTCTAATATTTCTAATATTTCATTGGACTGCCTTTCACTTTTATTACAAGATATATTTGGCGTTGTGCCATGGCATTCTTTTAATACGCTTCCACAAAGTCACATTTACTCCTGTCCAGAGTTTTATTCATTTTGATTTTGTATTGTACAGATGATGGAAGAGTCGGAACTGCAGTGCATGTCACAAATATTCTCAATAAGGTTAGGGTCTGGATGCTGTGGAGGCCAATCCATGTTTAACAATGGTGTCTCCCTGAACTATCTTCAACAATTCGAGCCCAATAAATCCTGGCATCATCTCGGAAAATACCCATGTCAGCAGGAAAAAGAAAAAAAAAATCAATTTATGTAATAACCTGGTCATTCAGTATATTCAGGTAGTCAGCTGACCTCATTATTTGAGCACATGACACTGAAACTGAAACATACTGACCAACTGCAGCATCCACATCACACAGGCTTTAATGATAGATGATAGGCATGATGAAAACATAACCTCGTCCTCATCTCGATTCATCTTGATGTGCCCATCATTCTGGAACAGGGTTAATCAGGCCTCTTCTTCCCATTTCTACGCTTCTTAGCAAAGTAAAATATTTCACTTCAGATTCCCACAATTCATGAAATTTGGAATTTTAAAAGGCCTATTTCTGCTGTTGAAAGTGAGGGTAGTTTATGGGGTTTTATGTCCAAGTCATGGATTTTTCTTGTTTTTAATTCTACTTTACACACATTGTGTCTAAAAAAAAACAAGCAATAATATTTATTACAAAAATAAGACTGCTTATCGGGATTAAGACAGACTTAATTTCGTACAGGAATAACAACGCAATCTGTGCATTAGAATAATCTTTTATTTACTTTGCTTGACGAAGATGTATTTCTTTTTAGCTGCGTAAGGCTTAAATAAAAAATGTGTTTTTAAATGAAGATAAGAGTTTGATCAAAGGTTAAAGAAAACTGAAAGGCTACAGTGCTTCATGTTTTCCTTGTGAATTTCCCACTAAATACTGGACAATAGGTGGAATGGATTACTTGAAATTGGCGAAATTGATCACACTGGATCTGTATGTTGTGTGGCAGGGAGTGGTCGTCCATGAACTGACTGCACAGTTGAAATTATCTTCCCTGTCGAAGACATGGTACTGAGCCAAGAGGCAGAAGAAGGTGCTAATGAGGTGATATAAATCAGGTAAGGTGGAAAACATATAATTTAACATCTAATTATAAAATATAATTAAAAGTTGAAGGTAGTTTTACAATTCTGACAGAATTCATTTTACTTGGATTTTTTTTGAGACACTGCAAACAGTTGAAGTCAGAATTATTGAAAACATCTGCTCTCCGTTAAACAGAAATTGCAGAAAAAAATAAACAGGGTCCAATAATTCTGACTTCAACTGTATATCAAAATGTAATATTTCCATAAATTGTTAGACCCTGCAACTGGTATTGGCATGTATTTAAATTCATATTTGGGTAAATGATTTGTTATTTAATGTACTTTTAACTCATGTTGCATTAATGTTGAAGGCTAACTGAAAAGACTGACAATGCCCTTGAAACATCTGGGTCCTAGATGCGACAGACAACACGACACAATAAAATAAGCATTTTAAAAATTCTTCAATTACTTGTTTTATTTTTTTGCTGAATAACTTGTATACCAAATACAATATACTTGTTGTATACCAAAAATGTCTGTAAACAAGTAAATGAAGCTAGCAAATGTATGGATTTAAAATACGCTTTGCTCAGTGCACAACATGAGATGCCTGCTTTTCTGTTCTATAGGTCATGGAAATTTAGCTTTTGGTCAGTTAAAAGTCATGGAACAGTCAGGAAACTTGAAGATTGGTTTTAAATGTGAGCCCTGCTCACTGATAAGTGGGTTTAGTTGTAATATTAGTTTTAGCAATCTCCTTATATGTTTTTTATGCTTGATGCATGCCAATAATTTACAGATGGTTTAAGAAATGAGAAGGTACTCTCTGCATCTGTTAGTGTTCAATAACTTAGTTAAGCTTAGTTGAATCCAGGTGGTGTCTATTTTCCAGGGATAAAAGCCCCAAACCGGTTTATCTTATAATATAAAGCAAAGCAACCAGGTCTTTTGAAAAAGCTTGAACTCTTTTGGTGAATTTGTGTTGGAGGGATGTCTCTGCATTGGGTGTTTCACATATTCATAAAAGAAATCACAACAATACAAGTATAAATTTAGGTTTATACATTTATTTAGTCAAATATAAACATTTTAGTAATAAAACACTACAACACACACAAACAGTAAAGGATTCTAAGGGAACATCAGTCACTATTTACACGCCGAGCGCCAGCAGTGGCCATTATTTGAGAAAAGATTCTGCTCTTAGTAATCTTTCAAATATCATTTGCAGAAGATAAAAGCAAACTTCAGTCTGTTGATAGGAGAGGAATGGCTGAAGTACCTGATCGTGTCTCAGTAGTCTTTACTTCTGCCCGGCTGCAGGTTTGAGCGCAGTTTATACATGTAGTTCAGAGAGTCCAGCAGAAACGAGCGTGTAGTGTTGATCTCCATTAGTGTGAGATTATCCAGCTAAAGACAGAATGAAAGGCCATCAATCGATCACGTTAAACATTTGATTAATACTGGGATTCATTGTGCACTTCTAAAGCGTGCTTTAACTCTAGGTTAAGTAACATTTTACACTTGTAATTAGGAAAGGTGGCTATTAATAGTGGAGCATGAAACTTTTCTAGAGTACAATCAAGACCAAAGTATACTTCAGCTGTTAGACACTGTGACAATTTTCATCACCATAAATCTGATAACAAATGTTTGCCGCTGAATGGTGCAGTTTAATGTTTAATTAAGTTTGTATTTTTGTATAAGTAAAAGTTGGTATTTACAGATATATTCACAGTGCACACACTTATTTTAAATACACATAGAAATGCACCAATATACAGTAGAAGTGAGAATTATTAACCCAAATGATGTTTAACAGAGCAAGGAAATTTTCACGGTATGTCTGATAATATTTTTTCTTCTGGAGAAAGTCTTATTTGTTTTATTTCGGCTAGAATAAAAAGTAGTTTTCATTTTTTTAAAGGTTTAAGTTCATTTTAAGGTGAAAATTATTAGCCCCTTTAAGCTATATTTTTTTCAATAGTCTACAGAACAAACGCAATACTTGCCTAATTACCCTAACCTGCCTATTTAACCTAATTAACCTAGTTAAGCCTTTAAATGTCACTTTAAGCTGTATAGAAGTGTCTTGAAAAATATCTAGTCAAATATTATTTACTGTCATCATGGCAAAGATAAAATAAATCAGTTATTATAAATGAGTTATTAAAACTATTATGCCTCCGGCACCTAGACTGCAGCTCTGCACAAGATGTTTGGCCAGTGGAGAAATGGTCATGCCCAGCTGAGCCTGGTTTCTCTCAAGGTTTTTTCAATTCTTTACTTTCGCCAATTGGTGAAGTTTTTTCCTCGCTGCTGTCGTCACTAGCTTGCATGGTTCGGGATCTTGTAGAGCTGCGCATAGATGGATTTGCTCTTCAGTGTTTGGACTCAGTATTGAATATTAAACCACACTAAACTGAGCTAAACTGAACTGAACTTAACCTCTGAAAACTGGACTGACACGGTTTTCATTTTACTATGATCTTATATGTGAAGCTGCTTTGACACAATCTACATTGTGAAAGTGCTATTCAAATAAAGGTGAATTGAATATAGAAATGTGTTGAAAAAAAATCTGCTCTCCGTTAAACAGAAATTAGGGGAAAAAATAAAAAGGAGGCTAATAATTGAGGGGGGCTAATAATTCTGACTTCAACTGTACATGTGTGTGTGTACACTTTAAAAATATGAACATATTCAGTTGTGCTCATGTTTTCATACCCCTTGAAAAATTTGTTAAATTGTGAATAATTTAAATATATATATATATATATATATATATATATATATATATATATATATATATATATATATATATATATATATATTTATATATATACACACACACACACACACACACACACACACACACAAATATACAAAGGCAAATATATATTTTTTATTTAGCACTGTCCTGAGTAACGTATTGCACATAAAAGATGTTAACATCTAGTTCAAATCTGCAAAATATACTAGAAAACAAAATAATCTGCAGGAGATGAGCTTTTCTGAAGAGCAGTCGTCACTTTTACTGTTTAGAACAACAAGAAACTCATGATCAACTGATGACCAACTCATGATCACAAAGCTGAAAAAGTGGAAATCACAGACAGTATTGAAAAAAAGGTCAGTCAAATTTTGCAGGTGTTTATTTTAATTATTTCAGCTAGTTTTGTCTAGTGACCTAAATGTAAACATTTTTTATATGAATTATCTTAAGGTTGATTTATACTTCTGCGTCAAACGTACCCGTATGCTACGGCGCTGACGCATAGCCCTACGCCGTGGCTGACGTGCACCCCTTTAAAAAAAATGTAACTACACGTCGCAACGACGCGTAGCGCAAGCTCTGTGATTGGTCGGCTTGGTAGTGCTGACGAGTCTGGGCGGGACCGAGAGCCGCGCGAATGGCGCAAGACGGTTGGAGCGATTGATTACAAGTGTGGAGTCCCATGAAGGAGCTCCGAATGGAAAGTTTTGTTTTGTGTTTACCTCATATTTAAAGTTTTTGCACATCCGCCGGTTCCTGCCTCAAAATGTGCGAGTTTGAGCCACTTGTACATTCTGGATGTGTTCAGCGTTTCGGAAGTGTTAATGCAGACCAACAGAGACAGCGCACAGAAGTATAAATGCACAGCTCCGCGCGTTGCATGTGCCGTGAGTTACACCGGTCACTTGACGCAAAAGTATAAACCAGGCTATTCTCTGAACAATACAACAAAAAAGCTACAATATATGTATTATCTTTCTGTTTTTATTAAAACTATTCACATTTTTAAGGGGTATATAAACTTTCTAGCACAACTTCACGTTTATATACAGAACAGACCAAAAGTTTGGACACACTTCCTTATTCAAAGAGTTTTCTTGACTATGAAAATTTTAAATTAACACATGTGGAATTATATACAGTATAAATTGCTAAATATAATTATTTGTCTATCAATACAAAAACACCTTTTCAATATCTATATATTTATACACACATCAGTGTGTATACTAATTAACAGTGTACACAAAATTACTATGTAAACATGCTTTCATTGTGTGCTATTAGTTGTGATTAATCGTAAATCAAAATTTTAGAGGTGTCATTAAAAAAAACAAAAAACCTTAAATCAAGTAAATAATTAACAACCAACAAGTTGCCGGTTCACTCCGCGGTGGCGACACCAGATTAATAAAGGGAATAGGCCGAAAAATAAACGAATGAATGAATAAATATGTGTCATTCATTTATTATTCATTTGTATTACACAAATGCTGCCAACCACTAGTGGGCAGTGTGGATCAGAATGTTATATTATTTGTCGATTCCATCTCTCCAATCATTCTACAGTATTTATTTCACTTGACCAAATAATTAAAACCTTAACATTTTAAATGCATTACATTTTCCCTAATCTTTTCCAAGCATAATCTCTTCAACATCACAGCGTTCACATAACTTATTCCTTCCTGTGTGTGCTGGAACCCATATAAATATGCTTGATTTTTCATTTTGAACTTAAGCGATTAATCAACTTTAAAATGAATGCTGTTGTTTACTGAATGTTGGGAAATATGAAAGTGTTTAGAAAATTAAATGTCAACCCTTGCATTTTTCCCAGGATTATTCTATATTTTATCGAACTAACATCCCGTTTCAATACATCTGCATAACTAAAATTGAAAAAGACTGCAATTAATTTAAACAATTCAGCCTATGATTTGTTTATATAAAAAACACAAACATTCCTATTAAACCTACTAAAGTTGTGTATGTAAGAATGTAAAAATGAAGATGTAGCATTCTGTCTTGAGTAACTTTATGATAGAATGCACAGAAATATGATAACCAGCTTTCATTGCCGTATGAGACATCATTAGCAGTGCATAAAATAAGCAGAACCAATATGGACATCGTAATATAATAACAATAATAATATAATAGCAAACCCAAGTCCCAAAGTGTCTTTTCAAACTTCTCAGATAATGTATAGAATTCCAAATATCCAAAGATTCATAAATCAAGAAGCATCTTTAAAGTAACGGCTATTTGACCCACCTGCCGCTGTACTATTAATTGTAATAACAGGAGGTGAATCAGAGTAAATGTCACAATAAAACAGTGCTGAAGAAAAAGTCAGTGAGTGAAGTTCCTAAATGAAAGCATTTAGTTATATATAATATTATTGGGTTGTGGATATTTTCAAAGTACACTTTTGAAATTGTTTGCATTTAAAGGTTAATTTAAGCTATGTTTTATATATTAAAGCTAACAGCATGCTTAATGCAAAAACTTTTATACAACAGAAAAGCATTGGACAACCTCTGCACAAAATATATGCAATATTTTCCCTCAAAGCTTCAAATGAAACCTAAAGTGACTTCACATTATTGTTTAGGATTTCTAAAAGTTGTTGTACATTCAAATTTCCTCAGCACTCACACACCCACCCACCCACTCACTCACTCACTCAAAGTGAACATCCGTAAATGCTGTGATAACGTCACATTCACCACATGCAACTAACCCAACTTGCAGAGTATGACCAGCCTTAAGCCTTCACCAATCAGGGCTGTCCACGTACAGTAAGTAAAAGCTTGTGAAAAGGAACCAAGCGAAGCTAGAAATCAGTCTTAGTGCAGGTTTACTGTGCACCTGACAGAGTATTGAGTGGTTTTGATCTACTCATCAGTTGGTCATGATAATTGTGGGGTTTTACCTGAGCGTGAGCTTCCTGCTGGCTGATGAAACTGTCAGCTGAAAGCCTCAGCTTAGCCATACGTGTATCCCAGATGTCCTTCACCAGCGTTCGAATCTCATCGGCTTTGGGAATGTTATCTGCAGCACTGAACACAAATATAATATTTCAATATACAATAAACAATATTATTAATTTCAAGTGCAAATATATGGACATGATCAATAAGCATGTGTCAGTGTTTTATAGAATACAGTTAAGACATGCTGATTTTCAATATTACCAAATGTATTTAGATAAAGAACATGCATGGTACGGCCATCACAAGCACTTCAAAAATAAAAGTTAATAATGATTGTTAAAACTTTTACAATGCTTGTAAAGAACATTCAGACTGTTGTATTTGCTATGATCATCACAGCACCAGGCCTTTCATTTTCAAACACTTAGAAAAAAAATTGCAGCTTTGAGTCCTGACACCAGCAGGAATTGTAGACATTTTTAAAGTGTATTTTTTTCTTTTCATTGAATTTTTGTCAAGTGATAAAACCAGAATGTTGTTAAATTAATATAAAATGACAGCTTTAACAACAGAGATGCATCACACCTGTAGTAGCCTAGCTTTGTCAATGGAGAGAAAAATATAGTAGAAAAATATAGCTCTTTGTTCATTTAGAATGGTAAAGTGCTTTGCTTGGGGGAGATTAGGATATATCAAGAGCCGCTTTTCCACTATCGTGCGGAATCGTTCTTTGTGCAGAACCGTTCCATTCCGTGCCAAACCGAGCCAGACAGCACAGATACAAGTGCTGCAACAAAGCTCTTTCAAAACATTACACAAAACGCATCAATAGTTGCCCTGGCAACACAATGTAAACGGCTCCCTTTGTTCAATTAAATTTAAATTAAATTTAAGACGAAACTAGTTTTTTCATGTTCATAAAAACGAAAGCAACCATGTGTCTAAACACTGTTAAGCCCCTCCATTATACAGGGCTGCTAAATATAGGTACATGTCACAGAACCCTTATTTATTAGAGGTATGTTGCGCGGCTCTGGATAAATTTTATTTAGAGAGAAAATGACCAAAATGTAACGTGATGATTGAAAATGAGTGGAGGGGAAATAAATAATATATTTAAAATCTCTGAACATAACAGAAAATTAAACAATGATAAGGCAACAATAATAGTGCATTTGTATTATAGTGGCAGAAGCAGGCACTTTCATAAATAAAAAATATAGCACTTAAATTGTTTCATTTTTGACAATCAATCAAATTACACAGTGGTTTTATATCAAAAGTTGATAATGATTTAACATATACTACATTTTGATGGTAAAATATAACCCTTTAAGTGATGGCTGCTATTTGTTTCAGTATTCAAACGTTAAATAACGAATGCAGCAAGTGAAATAAAAAAATTAATACGAAACAACACAAAGCAGGATATAAAGCATATAAAGGACTATTATATTTAGCAAAATGCTGCTCTTTTATCTTTGTATTTTTATCGTTTTATTTTTGTTATTTTTTTTTTTGTCTTCATAATTAACTAAAAAGCTGTAAGCAAATTCTTGCTTGACGTTTCAGAAAATATTTGCATAGCTACCCAGTATATATTACAGATCACAAAAAACACAGAAACATGTTACATGCCCCCATAAATGTCAAACTTATGTATAACTAAATCATAAAATGGCCTTTAGAAATGATAAAAATTGCTCATTTTATTTTTGTAAAACATTTGTCAAAAAGTACTGTTATTTTTTGAGTAAAAGCAATACCGACAATAAATAATCCATATTTTTTTATTCATTCATTTGACTTGTTTATTGGTGCATATATAGGCTATAATATAAATCATACAACGGTACCTTGGACAGATACAGTGCCACTCCGTAAAGCTTTCAAGCAAAGTCCATAAAAATTAAGAGTTCACTTTCTACCGACCGTAGACTTTTGGACAGCCAACAATTACAGCACGCTGTAGCAATCCTTCAGGTGGTCTCGCCGGTATTAAATTAACAAGCCGCCTGGGCTTTGAATTAAAAAGTACAATTATTTCCTCGTTGTTAAAAAGAGTTGGCAAGTTCATGTTCCATGGATATAGTGGTGTTGTTGTGGACATCGATGATGTTAAGCATGTCTTTCTTTGCTTTATTCGATGCGCAGCAGGAAAAAAAAGTCTTTCAGCAGCGCATGTAGTCATTGGTAAAGTTCTCTCCCGGATCAGAGCAAGTGTTTGTGCTACCAAATACAGCGCTGCGTGCAAACTCACATTCAACCAGGTGAATTAAAGGTCTCATTGCCTAGGATTTCAATCAAATGAATCAAACTCTAGCCATGAATAAAACAATAGGCTATTTTATTATTTTAGATGAGGGGTTAGTAATTATATCATACATGGTTAATTGTATTCATGTCAATGAAATAATAACTTAAAATAGTTATATAATACTTATTAATAGTTATTACAGTAATAGTTAAATAAAATATCTTCGTAAGAATGTGAGGAGTTCTTCACTTCTCTGCCAGAGACTGCTCTATGGTTTTAAAACCCTTTTTAAACTCTACGGTTTAGACCTGGTTTACTTTTTTTCATAATAAATAAAGTGTAGTCCACTTGTGGATGTCTGATGACTAGCGTGCTTACGCGACGTCAACACACAGAATCTGTCGGCACAGTTCAGCACAGTTGTCTAACCGTGCAGAGAATTCCGGGCCGAGAACGGTTTGTAATCGTGTCGCGCTGTTCCAGGCTCAGTGGAGAAACAATTGTAACCATACTGAAGTGTTCTTAGAACAGTTCAGCTCGATAGTGGAAAAGCAGCTAAAGACTGTAGAATATGTCACTCGTTTACTTTGAATGGGGAAAAGCGTAACAGCAAAGACTATAGAATGCACAAGACATGTTACTTGTATCTTTGTGAATGGAGAAAAGTGTAACGTCAATATGGTGAATAAAGCCCCACATACTAGTTCAGGAGCCAATCATCGATCGCTATAAAACCTGATTTATACTTCTGCATCAGGTGACCGGCGTAACCCACGGCGCATGCAACGCGCGTGGCTGTGCATTTATACTTCTGCGCGCTGTCTCTGTCGGTCTGCATTAACACTTCCGAAATGCTAGTTGGCAGTGAGGTGTAAATGTTCCTCTGTGTCGAGTTTCTTCGCTGCTTTTTTGCTTTTCCTGAACACTTCAGGGATGTACAAGTGGCTCAAACTCGCTCATTTTAAGGCAGGAACCGGCGGACGTGCAACAACTTTAACTATGAGGTAAACACAAAACAAAACTTTCCATCGGGAGCTCCTTCACGGGACTCCAATCTTGTAAACAATTGCTCGCGCCATTTGCGCGGCTCTCGGTCCCGCCCAGACTCATCAGCGCTACCAAGCCGACCAATCACAGAGCTTACGCTACGCGTCGTTGCGACGTGTAGTTACAATTTTTGAGAGGTGCACGTCAGTGACGGCGACGGCCACGGCGAAGGGCTATGCGTCATACGCTGGCGTTTGACGCAGAAGTATAAATCAGCCTTAAGGCAAATAACGCCCGCCTTCTAGTACAGGAGCCAATCATCAATCGCTGGAGACCAGTGGTAGGGAACCTATGGCTCGAGAGCCACAAGTGGCTCTTTGACCAAAAATACGTAGCTCTCCAACTGTCTCCTTTCAATAATATTTTACAGCTTAAAAAATTATAAATGTCACTCAGTTTTCTATTGAAAATAAAATTACATTTCCTTTTTTATTGTATTTATTTACAGAAAAATTTATAAGAAATAAGCAAACAACTTAAGGGGCCCTATCATACACCCGGCGCGATAAGTCACAAGACGTGTTTGCCCCGACGTGTTGCTATTTTTAGACCAGCGCAACCTTAATTTTCCAGTTTTCTGCCGCATTGTTTAAAAAGCAAATCCATTTGCGCCACTTTGTGGACTCATGGGTGTTCCGCTCCAGAAAACAGGTGTGTTAAGGCACATTGTTTGGTGTTGTTTAATTTGAGAAACTAAAATAGACTGAGCATTAGACCAGCTGAAAGGTCTAAAGTCCAGCACAGAGCGAGTCAGGTGTCCACCTCGCTTACACATTGCTTAAAACCAAAGGAAGTACAACTATACACAAATATCTGTACAACTGAAAAAGAATTAAAGGATTAAAATATTACAAAAATTTGAATTTTCTACATAAACATATAAACCTTCATACCTTTATCTCGGGAGGCTTTTTTCAGTTTATTTACAACAACTTGCTTTTTAATAATGTTATAACTATTAGTAGTATTATTTATTATATGCGCATTATATTTGTTTTATTAAAAAGATTTGTCCATCTGTCGGGTTTTGGACCATATGGGGCATAGCACGTGTGTTAGTATATAATTCAGTTTTTTTGACCACACTTTGTTATTATTGTTCATTTATTTATAGCTTTAGACTTCGTGCCTAGATCGTTAAAATAGAACCCTACACTTCTATAACCTCACGCATGAAAATTCAAACAACATTTATGATGATGTCAAAAAGAAAAAGTTCTATAAATTGTCCATTCTTTGTTCATAAACTTGCTCAACATGTGATGCTTCATATTTGTTTATTTTTGAGTTGTGCATGTACATAAATAAAGGTGTTGTTTAAACCTGTATTGTTTATATCCAATAGGTCTTTAAAAAACTGCATTTTAAAAAAAAAAAAATCAAAAATGGCTCTTTGCCGAAAAAAAGGTTCTCAACCCCTGCTATAGACTGACGATACTCCGGGGAGAGGCTCAGACCAGGCGTGAGTTTCTGCAGATTTTGTTTGATTCAAACACTTAGAAATACAAACTAAAGAGACCGTTCTTGTTTAATTTTATTGGCGATTCCTAATATGGAGTTTAATCGTAAGCGTATATCAATATGGCGAATGAAGCCCCACCTTCTAGTGCAGGTGCCAATTATTGATCGCTATAGACTGATGATTCCCCGGGGAAGGGGCTTAGGTCAGACATGAGTTTCTGCAGATTTTGTGTGATTCAAATGTTTAGAAATGAAACTAAAGTGACAGTAGTTGTTGTTTTATTTTATTGGTGACTCCTGATATGAAATTTAATCTTAAGTTTAGCAAGCAATTTTGAGCATACTGCCCGAGAGCCGTTTCAAAGATGGCACCAACAAAGTTGGTGGTTCATTCCGTTGTGGTGACCCCTAATTAATAAAGGAACTAAGCCAAAAAGAAAATGAACGAATAAATAAAATGCAGTGTATCTGATGCTTTAGATTATGCTATCTACATACATTTGTATATACTGTAGAAAGTAGGGCTGCAACCGTTCAAACTTCTCACAGTTCCGTAAATATAACAGTTTTGGTATGATATGTGCTGTTTAGAAAGAAAAATGGCTCCAAACAAATTTAAAAAACAAATTGAACACCTATTTATTGAATAACGGACATCTAACAACTCAACTTATAAAATATAAAAATACAAGCAGTTTTTGTCCTCCTGCAAAAAAATAAGTAAATAAAAAATTTAACATTTTAATCAAAGATCTGTATAGTTTTCAAAATTAACATAAATGACCCAGTGTAAGCTATTTTATTTTAACAATTATAGGCCAGGGTTTTGCAAGAAAACCAGCATTTGTTTTTTTTTTGTTTGTGAATTTACATTGAGTGACTGAAGGCAATGTACTGTGTTGTGGTCCCACTTGCACTTTCGTGGTTTCTCTCCTTCACACAGACACGATATAAATTCAAGAACTCAACACACTGAGATGTGAGGAAAGTTGACGTCAGCGGAGTGAGTGTGGTAGAGAGTTCCAGAGTTTGGGTGCAATAACACTAAATGATCTGCCCCCCATTGAAGAGAGGCGGTACCGAGGGACAGCGAGAAGGCCAGAGTCAGCGGAACGTAATGAACGAGTTGGGGTGTAGGGGACAAGTATGCTGCAGAGATAGGAGGGAGCTAGGCTATTTAGGGATCTAAATGCAAGGAGGAGAATTTTGAATTTAATGCGATAAGCAACTGGGAGCCAATGGAGGTCGTACAAAATTGGGGTTGTGTGAGCAGAACGTTTGGTATAAGTGGTATAAGGAAAATACGTACTGTTTCTCAATTCTAAAACTGTATTTGCACGCAATTGACAAATAATCACAGGAAAATTAAACTTTAGTAACAAGGCAGCAGTGGCCCGATCGGGCCAGTAACGATCCTGTCTACTGTCCCGAGCATCTCACACGCTGGCCCCGGGCCATCGGGCAGTCCTTATTGTTGAGCCCTGTAATCTAAAGTGTACAAGGCAGTATTGCTGCAGTTGTTTTTATCCCCAAACCAAAATAAAAAATGTATATTTTTAACTGTGGATCACAGGACACACCAAATCATAGGAGGATAACAGGACATTTCACATTTTACCGAGAACCCCAAATAGTGAAGGATTTAAAGATCGTTGTCATTTTAGTGGCGACACAATTATATGAACAAATAGAAATAGATCCGTTTTCACAATTATGCATCATGCATGAAATGACCAGGTGTAAACAGCCTCAATGAGACACACTCTGACATTACATTAAAAAACAAGGCTGAAGGAGATCTGATACTCACTGGTTGAGTAATAATTTGGTCAGCTCCATGTAATATGGATTTGGGATGGGAGTAAAAGTGTCTAATTTCCTCTCCTGTTCACGGATGTCTTCTAGTTTGTCTGAAAATGAAAAGATCAGCAGCGTTTAGAGCCTGCCTTCAGAATAGATGGTGTCCCAGCACAGACAGACTGAAACTCACCTGTGTCCATCCATTCTGGAGGAACTATCCTGCATTTCTGCCGTTGTTTAAGATTGAGGGCCAACCAGACAGGAACTTCAACAGGCAGACCTGGGTTGAACGGGCCTAAATCTCCCTGGAAAAATTAATCAATAAATCAGATACATACTCAAGTAGCTAGCTGTAAGTGACCAAAAAAGTATGGTCTAAACAAAACCTGTAATTCAGAGATGGCACAAAACATGCTATCTTAATCCCCTTTCCTTTATTTCAATTTAGTCCATTATTTATCATGGATCGCCACAGAGAAATGAATCCCCAACTATTCCAGCAAATGTTTTATGTAGCGGATGTCCTTCCAGCCACAACCCAGTACTAGAAAACAGCCATACACTCTCACATTCACACACACACTCATACACTACAGCCAACTTTGTTTAGCCAATTCACCTGTACCACATGTCTTTGGACTGTGTGGGAAATCGGAGCACCCAGAGAAAACTCCACACAAAAGGTGGGACTCAAACCAGTGACCTTTTTGCTGTGAGGCGACTGTGCAAACCCCTGAGCCACCGCCCAATAAGCCATATGAATAAAGAATTTAACATTAAGTATATAGGACATTCTACCAGAAACGTATATTTTCATAAATTTATATTTTATAAAAAAAAATTATAATTATTTTTTTACATATATTTATTTACATATATTTATATAAAATGTAACAGGGCCAGACCTTTAAGCTTGTCCTACTTATAAAATCATACAAAAACAAGCATAAAATCATACAACTCAATGATAGAACACATCGTTGATCACTGTCAGCTTCTCCATCAAATGATGTCACTTCCGAGTCATAGCCTTAAAGGTGTATTGCACGCTTTTTTTGTTAAAGTTCATGCAAACAGGAGTGACCAAAACATGAGGACAATTATAAGTGTATTTGTATTATATATTTGTAGTATTTATTTGTAGAATGTAATTATAATTTCATGTTTTTAATCAATTGATGTGATTGCTAACAACTTTAACTTGCAATTACTACAACAGTTTTTAGCATGACAAAACTATTAAAGCTGAGGACAAGGACCCTTTTCACATTTCTAGGTTTCTCAGTAATGGAAGGCGTCACAGTTGGGTAAACTTAAAGTGTAGTAAATTAGAGAGTACAACAAATAATCTTTATTACAATCCTATTTGCTGAAATGATAAAAACTCCATGATGGTGTTATCAAAACTATCAGACTGATGACGGCAGCCAGAGGAAAGAATAATGTCAAATTTACTTTTAACCCCATAGACGCTGTAAATTTGTACAGAGTAAAATTTGTACATTTGTAAAGTTTTTAATGAAGAACAAAAATCTGAAAACCAAATGACATATTCCTTCACAGAAAAACTCAAAAAATCCAGTCCATTTTAAAAAATATTTGGAATAAAATACTTTTTATTCACTGTATTTATGTTTTTATTTCAGGGACAGACAATGTACAATTCTGGTAGAATGTCCCTAATATCTCAAGCGGCTTACTTGGAATAAACATTTAAACATGGTTACAAGCATTGACTCAAGACATTTGGCTTCGCACATCTTTTCACAAAATGTACTTTTGCTTGCTGTAATTAAACCTTTTAACACTGTCAGAGATTAAAATAAAATGTATTGTCTAGTATAAAACATAGACTATGAACTATATTTATCTATTAAGACACACATTATTTGTGTGTGTGTGCGTGAGAGAGAGCAATTCCATGCAAACGTCAACCTTGCCATGAAAAGTTTTTGCCAAAATAGCAAAATCGTTTCTTCATTTTTTGTGCAAGCAGGTACTTTACAGCACTTTAAAAATACTCAAAAATGTCTCTGTGAATGTTCTCAAATAATTATATTTGATTCACCAAAATCAATCACAAGTGCCAATGTCACATCTGTTACATCCATAACAAAGCTTTTCCCTCACAAATGCAAAAATGTCAAATCAAATCAATAGTTTTAGTACTATTTTGAGCCAACTCTTCTCCTTTTGATTATCATTATTTCTGTTGGATTGAGATTAATTTACAAAATTTTTACAAAGTATGTTGTATACTGTAAACTCACTAACTTTTTTGTCACATACATAGCGCCTGTTTATTTTCCTCATTTAAAGTATAAATTTTTTTTTACAGATTGATCTTTTTCTGATCTCATAACTCTTTGTCAGTTGTTCTGGAAAATATAATTAAATGTTTCAATATAATGTTACCATATACTTTCTCTGTGAATTTATGTTTTGAGATTTTACTGCAAATGTCACATCCATAACGCTGGAATTGCTCATGTATGTAAATATATATATATATATATATATATATATATATATATATATATATATATATATATTTTTTTTTTTTTTTTTTTTTTTTTTTTTTTTGGCAAGAACCAAAACACATTGTAAGTGCTGGATATACACACTACTAATCAAAAAAATGTACAGATCATTTGAATGTGGTCATGTCATTGGCCCATAAACATTTCCTGCTTTTTATCCAGTGTTGGGGAGTAACTAGTTACATGTAACGCCATTACGTAATTTAATTACAAAATAAAAGTAACAGTAACTAGTTACAGTTACTAAGAAAAATATGTAATTAAATTACAGTTACTTTTGAAAATGGTAAAAATTACAAATGGGGTTACATCTAATATTTTTCTTTAAATCTCTGTGATATGTTGAATAATATTAATCTATTGCTTTGCCTGTTTTTGATATGCACGATGGCTTCTGCTAAGGCCATTTATTCAAGCTCTGATGCTTTTGATTTGCGGCGCAACCACGGGCGTAAATCCTGGGGGGAACATGTTCATTGTCCTCCTCACCAAATAAAATATATATATATATATATATATATATATATATATATATATATATATATATATATATATATATATATAAATAAACGCACTCTCTGTTTTGAAAAATATATGTGTGTATACCTAAAATAATTGTCTAAGTAGAAAAAAACCCCGCATTTATTATTTAAAATGCATTTAGAAAGAGTTCACCCCCACTTCCTCATAGTGGTTTGATCCACCTACTCCTCAAGTACACGAAGCCTGTCAACACAGTCACAGACAGACAGACGCAGAAGTTAGGTGTGTGGCTACAGGTCAATGTTGAATTTGAGTAAGTATGGTGTATTAATCACATTAAATAAATCGATTCTCTTCAAAGTTAATGCAGAATCATTTATAAATTAGTTGCGGCAAAAATGCAGATTACCAATGTCCATGAATCTGCTGTATTAGCGGTTAAAATTACTCATGTAGTTAACGTATGCTTGTTTAGCTTACGTTAGTGGCGCACTGCAAAATAATACGCCAAAGTGCATTGTTTCATTTGTGACGACTTGGCATAATGTTAACTTTACATTAACGGCCACAATTAGCATATTGTTTATCTGTGGATTTGCTAAATGAGCACTGTGCTACGTCCAAACTAGCCCCACTTTATTTTTTGTATAATCAATTTCAGTTCTGTTCTTAGGTGACTAAATTAATTTAAAATATAAAATGTCCTTGTTTTTATTGTTGTGATGATTTTTATGATAGTTTTTCATTCTTTATGTAAAGCACTTTGAATTAGCATTGTATATAAAATGTGCTACAGAATAAATAAACTTGCATTGCAGTGTCATGGACTAGATAAAATGATTGAGGTAAAGTTGTTTTTATATTCGCACATTCATTCAGTGACAGCTCCATACATTGTTTACCATGGTACTTTGAATATTTGAACTGAAATCTCATGCAAGTTTGACTTCAAAACAACATTAATAATAATAATAATAATACATTTTATTTGTATAGCACTTTTCCAACATACATGGAACTCAAGGCACTTCACAAACAACAAACAAGCATTGTAAAATAAACCAAATACAAAATAATGTATATTAGACAATTAAAGCAAAATATATACTCAGATAAAAGCATACATGTACACGCATATATGCATACATCTACACAATCACACACAATATTCTTTACATACATGCACACACACCGTACATGCATATGTACATAAACCTACACGATGTAGATAAATTGCATAAACTTCACAAACTTATATTCATACGCAATTTTAAAAAGGTGCTTCTTAAGCTTTTTAAAAATAAATTCTGGGGGATTCTTTTAATTAATTTGGGAGACAGTTCCAAGATTTTGCAGCATAGTAACTAAAAGAAGTGTCGCCAGATAGCATCAGATTTACAAAGTGAAATTCTAAAAGTCGAGTGCTAGAAGAGCGTAGCAAACGGTTTAGATTATATTTTGATAAGCAGTCAGAAAAGTATGAAAGGTGTCATGTTGTGTAGTGCCTTATAAACTAATAAAAGAATCCTAAAATTTATTCTATTAATGCTGCTGTGATATGTTCTTGTGTCTTCAATTTCAATAAAACTCTGGCTGCTGTATTTTGTATCAGTTGCAGCGTCTTTATAGAACCTTTAGGTAAACCAATATAATATTAACACTAACTGTAAACAATGCTGTACTTTGATGGTTGTTGGCAGCTAATATGATTTTACTATTTAGAATTTCCAATGAATACTCTTCTGAGGTAATATTATGAGAGACTGAATGTGCAAATATAAAACCAACTTTACCTCAATGATAAAATGACAGAGAAAAGGAAAATGGACATAAGATTATTTTTCAGTGCAGCTAAACTCCAAGTACAAAAAGTTCACATATTAAGCAATTTGGCTTTAAGAATGAGTGCTTATGAAAATACTAATGTCACATTATCAATCACAGGCAGAAGAGAAAGAACTGATTGAGGAACAGACAGAGCAGGGTCAGTCAGATGTACAGTGTCAGGTAAGGGTGTTGTGCTTTATTGAAGGGATAATAATTCTTTTAGGGGTGAACAATTTTTAAAAATATTTTCTGAGTTGTGGCTGTTTAGCAGATGAACCTCACAGGCTCACCAATTTACAATATGATCTCTCAATTTAACAAGTGTAATGTAAACCAGTTAGTTATTATGAGTATGGAAAATGTCTTTTCCTGCATTTATTTGGCTTCAGGAGTCAGTCTGTTGACTGTAAACAACACAACAAACAATGCAATAAATAGTTTTCAAGAAAAATTTGCTGTCATTGAACCTGAGAAAAACTTTGAAAATAACCATAATGATGTAGTCTCCATGCTGTAATATGAACAATAAAAGCATTTTTAACTGCGGAGACATATAAGTACAATTCGGCTGTATTATTTGTGTCCCCTTCAAAAAATCTTTAAAAAATTGCTCATAAGAAATTTTATATTTATTGTCCCCCCTACTGTCAAATTAATGGCCATGGGCGCATCATGTCTAATCCTCCTTGCCATTGAAAAGCATGAGGAAGCATCTGCAGGTATGTAAGCTAGCGTTTCTTTGTTTTATAAAAGCAAATGTTTTTGTCGTTATCGTGAGTGTACAGAAATAAAAACAGACCCTTAAATTTCTAATCATATATTATGATTTATAAAGTTATCGATTTGTGAATTTCAGGGCACCAGCAGACTCCTCTGGCCAAAGTGATGTTATCACATTACCAGTGTAGCTAGCTTAACTACATTTTTCAGTAGCGTGACGGTAGCGTCGCTAAAAAATCAAATAGCTTTTCACAGTAGCGAAGCTATTTTATTAGTGAAGTAGCGCAGTAGTGTCCACACAAGCTACATTTACAGAACGCGGATCAATATTGTTTAAAATGTGTAACACCTGGTTTTATTGGATTTTTTTGTTTTTGCTGTTATGTACTATAATTTATTTCTGTTTGGTACAGCATATTATTTACAGTAAATAATTGAAATGAACAGTTCTGCCTCATATGTTTCATTGGCAGTTTTATTGATCACTAAGATGTGATTGATTTGGATTTAAGTGGCTTCGATTTAAAAATGAAAATTTCAAAAATTAGATGTATTTTTTTATTGCAAATGCCACATAAATCACCTGCACAACTAACTAACATTGTGATTTTGTAACAACAGTAAACATGCTTTTGTGATAAGGTCTGGTTTTGTGGTGGCTCTACTTTAAATTTAAATAAATTAAATAAATTTTATTTAAGTGATGAAAGCTTTTGAGATTCTAACAGTAAACAGAGCTACTGTAAGCTCACTCCTGCTCTGTATAAATGCTTGAAAATTATTTAGTTGAAAATGTTTATTAGAAAATTAAAAGCAATCAAAAAGTAATCAAATGTAATTAGTTACTTTACTTTTATAAAGTAATCGAAAGTTACAGTAACTTATTACATTTTAAATAACGTTAGGGTAATTTGTAATCTGTAATCTATTACATTTCCAAAGTAACCTTCCCAACACTGTTGTTATCAAAATATTTCATAACTGTAACAAAAGGCAGTTCGATCATAACTTAATATTAAAACTGGTATAATAACATTATTTATCAATACGTGGCGGTTTGGGATTCTTAGAAACTATAGAAATTAAAAATGTAAAACAGGAAATACGTTAGAACCATTGTTTTTGCTAACATCCTGAAAAAGGTCTTATATATTTACATAATATATTTTGTAAGATTCCTTTTTTATAAATATATCAAAACTCATTTTAATTAGTAATGTGCATTTTATAGTCGACAACTTTAAATTCGATTTGCTCAATACTTATTTACTAACATCTTCAGATTCCAGATTTTCAAACAGTTATCGTTTGTTTATCTGTGTTGATGTATTGTATTGGTGATAACTCGCATGTCGAGACTACCACAAGCATGCCTGGCAGAATTTCATTATTTTGGGCTAAGCAATGTTATGTTAACCTTACTCGTAAACATTTGAACAAGCGAACTATTAGCACAATGAAATCACCATAGATACCAATTTACATGATGTAGATTATAAATTGACTCACCCCAATCAAATAGATTTTATCGAGACTGAAGTTTGGGATGATTTTGACCATCTCTTTCTCTGCTAAAAACTCGACCTCCGCTGGATCCATTCTGCTGTGTGACAAGTTTTCCCGCGTCTGTCAGACATGTGTCTCTGACGTCAAGGAGGGGCGGAATCTGAGACGCTCTGAAGCAACAATTAACATAAGAGCTGCCCTCTAGAGGTCACTCCTGATCCTGCAGTTATAATTCATATCATTTATATCGCTAAAAATAACTAACCAAAGACCACTGCTTTACAAAATCTTAAAAACGAATTGAAAGCAAATCTAAAAGTTTACAATTAATTAGACTAAGTCTCAATGAATTGCACAAACTGAATGTTTGTCTTTCAGCCACGGAGAACTATGCAAAGTGACCATATTAACAAAAAACATTGTAAACTGCTAAAAAAGGTAAACTTTAGTTAGGGCATAATTATGATATGCTGATATAACCAAATCCCTTCAGGAAACTAATAAAGACTAACTTAATCACTAAGTGCAGGCAACCCAGACATTTTAAAGCAATATACCCAATTTTTCAAGATGTAAAATAATTCTCTGATGTCCCTAGAGTGTGTGGGAGGTTTTGGCTCAAAATACCACACAAAAAAGCTTTTATACCTCTTTGAAAATGGCCCTTTTAAGCTTTGATCCAACTTGTGCTGCTTTTCAAAAGAGAGCAGAGCTATAAACTTCTGTGCATAAGAAAATATGAAAAGAAGTGTCTCAGAAGAAGGCAGTCAACGAAGACTGCAGTGTTCATTTGTGCATCCTAAAACTCCTCATTTATAATGCCTCTTAGTCGTTGACATCATCTTTGGTAGGTTTAGCATAAAGATACTATCAGCAAATGACGGCTTCTCACTCGGGCTGTGTATGCTAATGAAGGAGAGATGATTAGCGGAACATGTAGAAATGGAGAAGGTCAATAAAAGTGTTTTTACAATTATAATAGAAGTATTTTTTAACCATTAAAGAGGTTGGCTATATTCTCAAATTGTAAACACACAACTGTTTAAACCCCTTAGTATTTTTTTTTCTTCCCTTCATAATAGGTTCCCTTGAAAGTCTGTTTTTCTTTGAAATGCAAGTGAATCAAACTGAAACGCTGTGTGCTCCATCTGACAGGCGTCACAAACTTTTCTAGAGTTGATAAACTGCGAATCAAACCCACTAAATCTGAAATAAAGTTACATAAATACACAGAATCATATTTAAATAAGGCAGAATTAGTTTGGTTTTGTCACCATTAGACTCAAAGAGTTAATTCAGCTAACTTTGAGCAACAGCCCAGCGATCTCTCAACTATTCAAACAAAAAGTCCAGAATTACATCTTGCCTTTATTATCAACTATAATATATTTGTTTAAAATGGTTTTTCAATTTTTCTTCACAACAAGCAAACATGATATGCAGTCAGACATGCATTCAAAGCATACTGCGATCATTCAGAATACCTCTTACTGCAGATCATCCTGTTTACCTATACAGGTAGTGGAGTGTTACTAAATAGTCAATTCATTAAACAGCTGCACAAACATCGGTTTAAAGTAATTTAGAAAGAAGAAAGGTTTTTATTATTATTATTCATACCAATAAATTTACTGAACTTCGGAGCCAAAAATTATTCCACCATTGAATGACTGGTGTGCTGCAAACACTAAAATAATCTCTTGAAGAAATATATTAATTTCTACAATATAACATGTTCATTTCAGCAAGTAGTCAAGTAAACAATCATACCAGTAATTGAAACTAAAGCTAAACAAGAACACAATTAACATTTTTAGCAATTAAAAGCCATTAACCTCAAAATTATTCCAATCATAGTTTCCCACCCTTGAGTCATTCCAAACCACTATAAAAATCTGTTCATTTCTGAATCTCAAATAAAGTTAATAAAAAGATGTGTGTGCGGACATTGAAAGTCTATTTACCCCAAACTTTGGCATATCCAAATATCTTATATTTTATGAAATAACCTTCATGTGTGTTCCAGAGATGACCAAAAGTCTCATTGGTTTGGAATGAGAAAGGGAAGTAAAAGATGACACTATATTTATTTTGTGGTGATCTAAACCTTTCAGTTGCATTAGAAGGACTAGGTCGGTAGCAAAATTATGCCTTAATTTTTCATTATACAAACTACAGCTTGAAAACGGGTATAAAAACATCTCTGACTCTTAGAGTCACCACCACTTTTTCCAACCTGAGAACACAGCACTAATGATGTTTTTCTCCCTTTTACTCTCTCTCAAATCTTTCAGGTCAGCAAGAAAAAGAGAGAGTGTCACTGATATCTGGACAGACGTGCATCTCAATTCAGCAGAGATTGTTTGTTTGGACCTCAGGATGGCTTCAGCATAGATGTAATACAGATTTATTGATCTCGGGGTTGGTCCAGTCATTTCGTAGGTCGTCCAGATGGTTGTCAAAGTCCACAAGACTCTCGTATGATTTGTTTTCTAAAAGGGCTGCAGTGATCTTCTGTGCCTCCAGCCAATCCTCAAAGCAGTCGCTGCGATTTAAAGAGAGTTATAGCATGACAAACAATATCTAGGTCCTTTTTATACAAATGGCAAAATGATTAGCCCTATTAACATTAGTGAATGTTAATTATTTTTCAAATATTTTCCCAAGTGAGTTTTTCCTTCTGGAGAAAGTCTTATTTCTGTCATTTTGACTGGAATAAAAGCAGGGTTTTTTTTATATGCAAGGTCAAAATTAGCCATCTTGATTGGCTACAAAACAAACCACTGTTGTCCAATGACTTGACTAATTAACCCAACTTGCCTAGTTAAACTTTTAAATTGCACTTTAAGTTAAATACTAGTAACCTGCAAAACTAGCAAAATAGTATGCACTGTCATTATGGCAAATACAAACATTAATTATTAAAACATGAATTTAAAAATGTTCTGTTAAACAGCACATGGGAAATATTTTAAAGGAGTTCTAGGGCTAATAATAGGTTATAAGCACAGCTAGTGTTTCTTCATATACTGATAAATTTCCGGTGACTTTTAAAATTTTTATACGGTTCCTTTTACAGCATCAATGCCATAATATAATCAGTTAAATAGACTACAGCATTCATTTAGTTGTTGAAGTGTAAAATGAGATGAAAAGCTGTTTACAGGCACGCACCCAGGAATAGCAGGCTAGCACAGAATCTCCATTAAATATACAGGGGGAAAATAAATGTTCATATTTTAAAGACATGATGTTAAAAATGGAATTCAATGCTTCTTGTGCATTCTGAGACCCACTTTCTATTGTATATCAATCAGGCAATGAAAAATTTTGATTTTTAAAGAAAACTGACTGATTTTGTAATGGCAAACAGTTCACCGGTAGCATTTGACCCAGGTTACTGAAAAATGTACAAGTCCTTAAGCATACTTCTGCATATACCCTATTTTGATGGATGGTTGAATATTAATTTTTTTTTTTTTTTTTGGAGCTACAAGGCTGTCAATGTATTATTGCATTAAATGGTTTGGTGTTATGAATTGTTTTATAAATTTTCCTTAAACATAGTTCAATTTAAAAATTCATTATACTACTTTGCTGAATTCAAATACAAAACAAAACTTGGTATTTGATTATTTACAAAACAACTAAATTAACTGTCTTTAACTAACAAAAATAATTTATTGGTGTTTATAAACATTTAAACTGCAAATAGGACACTTTTATATAAATTTGTATTCAATTATTGACCCCATTTATTCACACAAAAACAAACAACACAAAACACTTATATATAACATACAGTAGCTCAAACATTTAGCAAAATGCCTTGTGAGAGCCAGCAATTTTATGACAGAGCATGTCAAACAAGCTATTGTGTGACATTAAATTAAAATGTTTTAGTTCTCACCACTTGAATATCTCCAATACTAAATATTTCTGATAATAAAATAAAAAAGAATAATAATGAAAAAAAAGAATAATCATAATAAATTATTATTAAGCCATACAGCCTTAATTTTAGTAAGGAACAAATAGAGAACTTTTTCGTTATTACAAATGTTGGGAGTTATTTGAGCAAAAAAAAAAATGTCCTTTTAAGTTACACTGTAACCACTAACAAAAATTATAATGAAAATGTATAATAATTATATAAATGAACCCTACTCACGTGCTTGGCTCCCTGCACTTCCACTTGTTGTCATGGTGATCATAGATGAAGAGAACTGGTACAAAACATTCCATAGTGAATCTGCTGTTGTCCATCTGATGGTGACAAACCAAAGCAGTTTTACTGTGTATTCATTCGAATGCATTTCTAACCATTTTAATGAACAGTTTCATGCAAATTACCATTATCATGGCAGCCTCGCTGAAATTTTCAGAGATTCTTGCAGCGACCTTCTCAGCCACCTGGTTTGGTCTGTAAAGATTTGTTAATATGTCAACATCACACAAACAGACTCGGGAAATCATGAAAAACATTTGAAGAAGCCTCAAGTTTACCTGGTTTCCTTTATACGTTCATTTGCTTGGTAGTATCCAGCAATGACATACTTGTTCTCTTTGCACCATGTATCAATCTGAGGAACGAAACACAATATATCTTTAATGTTTCCATCTGATTGAATTGAAGGCCCTTTGAGTTTGATTAAGGTTCTTAAATGTATGATGCAATGATACTTGTTAAAAAATGATTTAAACTTTGATTAGCTGTTTTACCTAGACATGCAATCTATTAATTTCAGAATCATTACCCTTAATAACAGTTTTTATATATAAAAAATAAAACATAATCATGTGACGGTGCTAAATGACCTTAAAGGTGCAAATACAAAAGCTCAAAAAATTACTGTTAACAGTTAAAGTATGTCCGTTGTAAGCATAAACCTTCTTCCGAAAATAAACTAAAAAAAAGACTCATCTTACCAACGTAAGAGCTACCTCCAGCATGGGGGCCAGCGCCAGAGCCCCGTGGAAAAGTGGCACACAATCCACGCAGAGTACCGAGTCTCTGGGATTGTCCTTCTTCTTGTGTTTCTCGGCGACCAGCAGTCCGTTCACCGCGCAGTGAGGATATTTAGCGGCGTGCAGCAGCATCTTACAGTAGGCTTGAGTGGTGAGTTTTAAAGACATGTTTACAGACCTTACTGAAATCGAATTCCCCTTTCGTCAACAAAACCTAGCAATGTCGGTAAAAAATGCGAGTCATAAAAATTCAACCGTACATTCACCGTGCCTAAAGTATGTCATTTGACTGAAGTTCCTTGAAGACGTTATTTCTTCATTTGTTACACGTCAACCACCATTCTGGATCTGACATGCACAGCTCATGAACTGGTTGGAGTTTCTTCTTCTTCCTTAGGGGTGATGACAGACCAACTTGAATTGCGCAATCCCGCCACCTACTGGATAGGAATGTGAGGCGGATAATGGTTGGAACCTGTGACAGCGGTAAAGGCAGTGAACATAAAATAGACTATTTTAAAATAGATTTTAAACATAGACATACATTTTTAAAATAGTCTAAAAATGTATGTATTGAGATGATATTGAAACAACAGATGTTTTTTTTTTTTTTTTTACTGTATGTTTGTGGATGCATTATGGGCAGATGTTTATGACTAGCTTTACCCAAAGATTTCACAGATTTTTGAATGAATGACATCATTTATGGAGTTGTAATGGACAGTAAGGAAGATGCCATGTTAATCAACAACATTCTTATGCTTGGAAAATTTAGCATACATAAATCAAAATATTTGAAGGTAAACCCACTGTTTTGTGCTTTTTATAACAAGATTCTTTCATTTAAACAAAAAGTGTCATTGATCTTCTAATCAACCCATCTCTATGAAACATCCACACACACACTCATTCACACTCATACGCAACCGACAATTTAGCCTACTTAATTCTGTACTGCATGTCGTTGGACTGTGGGGGAAACCGGAGCACCCGGAGGAAACCCACGGGAACTCAGGAAAAACATGCATACTCGACACAGAAACGCTAACTGACCCAGCCAAGGCTCGAACCAGCGACCTTCTTGCTGTGAGGCTACAACACTACCTACTGTGCCACTGTGTCACCTTACTGTACATGACTATATTAAAAAAGACCTAAATTCATTCATTTCTTTTTGGCTTAGTTCCATTATTAATCTGGGGTCGCCACAGCGGAATGAACCACCAACTCATTCAGCGCTATTTTACACAGCGGATGCCCTTCCAGCTGCAAAGAGAAAAACTCATAAATTATTTTGATCAATTTTATTTCTTTAAGAAAAAAATCTAATTTATTAACTATGGTTGATTTGGGAAAATTTCTTAACAGAACCTGAAATAACAAGATGTCTTAAAGAAGAAAAGAGTATAAAGGCAATAATATTTCAAATTATGGAACATTCTAGCAATTCGAGAAGGCAGGAGAGAAGTGTAGAATGCTGATGTGGTTCTAGTTAAAATAACTCTTCATTTCAGGTTTGTATAATGTGTATAATGTATGTTTGTATAATGTTGTATAATGTATTATGTCACTGCTAAAGTTCAGTTTATTTCAGATTGGTCTAACTGTAATGTAAAACGTAACTTCATATTCACAGAGAATTTAACATAAACTCTCTAATGCATGTTTTGTTTTGATAGCCCAGTATGAGACATTAATTACCTTGACAAAAACATCCTTTGTATTTTCAGTTTTTAGTTTAGTCATTTGCGTTTTCCACACTTTGCACATTTATTTCCCTCTGCCCCCATGCACTCTACAGCTTTGTGTCAAATTTTAAACATCTCAGTGGAATTAAAACATACAATTGAATACTGCACATCTAATGTATATGTTTTTTGCACAACAGATTCTTTAAAATGCACCTTTTTAAAAACACTTCAGCAAAATTAATATTACAAATGTCATATTAAAAAAAAGTCTTTCTTCTAAAAAATGTTTCATTTACTTTTTATAATGTTGTTAGGCAACCACTTGCATCTCATTTGATTTAACTGTAGCCTATCCTTTTAATCAGTTTAATGTTTAATCTGGGAATAATTTGGTACCTTAGCAGAAGACAATCAAAGGACTCTGCCCTGTACTCAAATTCAGATATTCTGCATTATTTTTTATGATATTGAAAACAGTTAGCGAAGACTAATATATATTACTCACTTTTATCTAGGTTAGAGATGCCCAAAGTAGGGTCTGTAGTAGGGTCTCACCATCCCATCTGAGATGAGCGTGAGAATGAGGGAAAAGGTTATGGAGAATGCCTTTCGTCATCTCTAATTTGACAAAAAATTTTTTGTTTCTTTGTTTTGTTGCTGAGATACAAAAAGCAAATGGACATTAAATGTCTCAACTAAATGTGAACAGATAACTTTTTTCAGTGTTAATGATTTAGCAGAGGGTAAATGAAGTGACTTACAATTAGGAGAACAATTATATTTTATTTCACAAGTTGTAGTATACAAATTGTCTCCATCTCTATTGCAAACAAGGAGGAAAAAGTAAATAAACTAAATAAAGGAAAAGAAAAAAACAAACCCCTAATGGCCACCGGTTACCCAGAAAGTGAGGACAGATGAGGTACCCAAGAAGCAGTGTTCTCACCACACTCAGCTCACAGCAATCACACTGAAACCTAAAAAACACAAAAATCAACAGTGACCAAATCACCACACAATCCCAACCACCTTTTCTCCACCGCCATCCACACAGTGCAGGGAACCCAGTAGCCACTGATGGTAAAGCAAATCCAAAACAGAACCTACAAAAGAAAGAAAAGTTTAACAAAGGAAAATACAAATACAAATTGTTGTCAACCTAGCAACATAATAAACAACCCAAATTCGCATACAACAAAAGTCAACAAAAAAGATTCAATAACAAAAACATTATTGTAAGTCTAAAGTAAACGGCAACCGTGCATCCCTAAAAAGGGGAAACACAGTTTATTACAACATTCTCTTATAAATGAGATCGGTTTTGTTTTTGTTGTAATAAATTCCTTATAAAATATAAAAATATATACTGTATTATTTAATACAAAGCAATGCTTTCTAGTTATTTTTAAATATTATAAAAAAATAGGACCCACTAGAAAAAACGTTTGGGCACCCCTGATCTAGACTAACTACAACAAGACTTAACTTATATTATTATAAAATTCTAATAATAATGTGTTTTTCAATATATGCTGTACTGGCAAAAAAAAGTTCCGCCGAGTGAAGACACCCGGAACCTGGTTGCTGATGCAAACAGCCAAAACGATCATTATAAGAGCGGAGCACTAATAATAGGTATTATTTTTTTTGTATAATTTTATGTGCATTGCAATATATATATATATATATATATATATATATATATATATATATATATGCAACAATACAGAAGCACAATATTTACAAAAAAATGACTTGGTTGTAGGACCGATTTATTCGTCAGCCATAACAGGTCATATTGCTTTACCCACACATTTCCTGTTCGAGTGTCTCACTTCCTTTATCCTTCCTCGAGCGAGCGGCGGTCGGAGACGCTAGGTGAGAGACAACTAAACGTTTTTGTTTTTGTAGAAAACAAAATCAAAGATATCTTGATATGTACTTTGTCTTGTTTGTTGTAGTGCTGCTTAATTCACCTGAGTGTCGAAACTAGCAATTAAACGAGTTTCAGGTGGTGCTAGAGATATCGAGGTTGCTGCGGTTGGTGACTGATGCTGGGTTAGCTTTTTAGCATTAGCCGAATGCCGGTGCATGTTTTTTTAACTATCCAGCACAGTGTTAAAACTTAATTAAAAACATACTTTGATATATGCCATCATGGCGCTCCTTCTTTTATCATATATGAGTTATTATGTTTAACGTGTTGCTTTTGTTGTTCATTCGCTCTTTATGAAGATGTGACCTTGTGACGTTAGTTAGCCGTTCATGTCAACGTCAGTGTTATTGCCACTAGTACTACTGTGTGTGCTGATATAAATATACTTTAATGCTTAGCAAATGCATATACTCTTGTATTTTATGCATTTTAGATGTAATGGAGTCATAATAATATAATTTGGTCATGGCATTTTTTTAGTTGAGTATATCTTTTTATTAATGGGATGCATTGCTTTGCATATAAATATTTTAAATACCATTTAAATTGAAACATAATAATGCATAAAATGTACATTTATTGTTTGAAGATTAAAAAAAGTTAATAACCAAACATCTGAACCACTAAAATTAATGTTTCTGTAGATAATAAAAAAAATCTATTCACCATTCCCCTCTGCTTGAATATATATGCTCTAGTTCTGCAGCTGTCACTTTTATTGCCTCTTTGTATCAAACCTGAGCTGTTAAAAATGGATGATTAAAAATACTGTTTGTTTTTTTTATTTTGCTCTCACAGAATGTTGGCAACTACGGCATTTCGTCTTGTTGGTAAACGGGCCTTGTCCACCTCCATCTGCCTTCGTGGTGCACATGGTAAATTGCATTGCAGCGATTTCCCATCTCACTTTTTTATTAATAATTACTTATACTTAAGTAAAATAATACAATTAGATAAAATTTTAAATTAAAATAAACATATTTCTCTCAATTTATTTATTGAGAATGTTTTGTCATCTTATTGATAGTATTTCTTCCTAATATAAAACATAAATGTTGTCCTTTTTTGACAGTTGGTCAGAATAACAAAAGGCACCATGTATTCAGACAACAATACTATTGCTTTAGCCTAAGAAGACTTAATAAAATCACCATCTGGTGGATTAAGCCTCATTTTCAACTAATAACTGATGGCATTTGTGATTTTTGATTAATTTTTCTAGGGAAAAAAATGACTTGTTAATGAAATGTTATCACGCTTTAATATAAAATACATATTTTTAAAACTCAAACTAAAAGTGCTTAGGAGTAGCTTGAGGTAGTTCTTTGCGTATGGGATTCATCAGAATCTCCAGCAAAAGTAAGTCCAAGGCACTTCAAAAATTAGGAAAAAAATGTAAAATGTATTTTAAATATTTTTTCCACATTTTTCAAGTGCCTTGGAATTACTTTTGCTGTTTCTAAATATTTTTTTAAGTTATCTTAATTTTCCATAGATGTATGTTTTCAAATTGTTTAACGGTTGTTCAAATAACCCTTTCAGGAGTTGCGAAGGTCGAGGACTACTCACTCCCTGCATACTTTGACCGACGAGAGAGTCCTCTTCCGGAAATCAAGTTTGTGCAGCAGCTGAGTGCTGATCAAAAGTCTCTCAAGGAGAAAGAGAAGGGATCCTGGGCTGCACTGTCCAAAGAGGAAAAGATTGCATGTGTGTTATATGAGAATTGGAAAAAAAAAACGTTGTTTGAGTTTTTATTTCAATGTGCTAATTTCCGTTGTTTAATTTCAGTATATCGTATCAGCTTCAAGGAAAGCTTTGCTGAAATGAATCAAGGATCAGGAGAGTGGAAATCTGTGGTTGCAGGAATCTTCTTCTTTGTCGGCTTGACTGGCTTAGTAGTTTTGTGGCAGAGGAAATACGGTAAGTGTTAGACTTCAACATGCCTTATAAAAGTATTGCTGATCATCTCATCCAGGAAATATTGAAACAAATTGTCTTTTCTTTTTTTAGTTTATGGAGATGTCCCCAATACTTTTGATCCTGAATACAAGCAGAAGGAGATCCAGAGGATGCTGGATATGAGAATCAACCCTGTTCAGGGATTTGCTGCCAAATGGGACTATGAAAACAACGCTTGGAAGAAATAAATGATGTAAAAATTGATCTGTTGGACCAGGCACACACACACCCTCTAACCAATAAAAAGAAAAGTCTGCAATTATTGTTTGTCCACCTGTTACCTTCAAATGGTTTTGGAAGATGACTTCCTCTTAAGGTTATGTATCATAAATAAAATGTCAATATCTCTCAAAGTAATTGTTTTATTTTGTCTAAGGATATGTATTGTGCATAATTTTACAAGTGAAATAATTATTCTTAAATTCAAATGAATAACTTCATTTTGACAATGGGATTAAAGCATATACATTCCTTTACATACAAGAAAATAAAAATAAATGTATGCAATTTAAGTAAATGCAGTGGGATGAGAAACAGTCTGAATTCAGTTTTAGACCTACTTGTGGCAGTTTTTTTTAAGCAATCATCAACTGCGTTGCATTTTTTTAAAACCTGAAGCAAAGTTAATGGAGTTCTTTCTTCATGACGTAATAAAGAGAGACATTAAAAACTATAGTTGATGAATTCAGATGCAAAAGCGTTGAGTGCCATCAGCAATTTTCTTCTAAAATGAGCATTTTCTCAGCCTATTTAAGTTCAGTTATTACAAGTCAAAAGCAATGAAAATAACCTATTTGTTGCAATAAAACAGAAATTACTGATCTTACACAGTTGCCTGAAATAGTTATTATTTTTGAAGAAATGTAAACTCCAGTTGTTGTTTTTTTGATACAAATTATACTTATAAATACAATTCTGTAATTTGCTCCAGCATGTTAACCACTGCTCTTTTTTTCTTAAAAAAAAAAAAAAAGGATAGATATAGAATAGTTATAAAATATCTTGAAGGATGAGGGTAGCTGTTGATGGTCCTCGTTGGCCTGGTGTGGAAAATAAAGTGAAAATGTGGGGAAAAGTGGTAAAGTTTGGTAAATGATGGTAAATTAAATTTTGGGGGTGAACAATGAAAACTGCATAACATGTTTTAAATTCGAGATTAAACATGTAGTTGTTTTACCAGTGCTGTTTCTCAGAGAATCGAGTTGTGTGTATACTATTTTCAAAAGGACTTATCTTGTAGTGACGTTGTGGTCAAAGTTTACTCCGCGAGTAAACGTTTATTGAAGTTAAGAAAGGGTTAAAGTCTATGCTGTGACGTCAAAAAGGTTCAATGTTTTGATTTCGGCAGAATTCCGGAAGCTGTCACACCGACTGTTTTCTTCTGTGAGCTTACTGAATATAATTAGACTTTTACTATTGAACGCAGTCGTTTTCGAGCCGCATGTCGATTCTCTGATGCAATGAACATTCTGAGGTCTGTTTGCACGTAAACTTAACAGTCGTTCCTGACAAATAACCATGGGGAATGGAATGAATAAGGTAATGAGCGTTATAATACTTGCGGATAATTTTGTTTATTTCTCATTACGGTAGTGGGCCATGTTAAATGTCAGCTGCTATATTTATAAATTTGACATTTAAATAGCCTAGACGCCAGGCACAGTCTGTACACTGTATACAGTTACGTCTAATTCTTTATTCATTATTTAGCCTTTCAGTGCCCTCACTAAAAGTACACTGAGGTGGTACAACGTATGTTTTTACAAACACAAACCGATCACAGTAGGCTGTATTGCTACATCACGCTGTTACTTTGTGATATAAGGGTGATATTTAACATAACATCATGTTATATCACGATTACACTGGGTGCGCAGTTCTTTAATTTATGTGTTAATTAGGTCAGTGCAGCTTCTGTCTGCCTATGCAAATTGTTGTCAGGTTACAGGTTATTGAATTGTTCATTAAACCGGACAAGTTAAGTCAACGATAAGATTTTTTTTCTTTGTGTTATCTGAATGTCATTGTAAACGCAGCATTCATAAAGCGACTTCCATATTTCGTGAGGAGTAGGCTATAGTTAAAAAAAAAAAAGTACGTCAGGACCATTATAATAGTATAATGTCAACTAATTCATAAATGTAGGCTATTATTTATAGCCTACTTTTTACCAGTTACTGCTCATAGTTTTAAACTTCATTTGAAAATGTTCATGTTTTTCAAAACCATCAGAAACCAAAATACAAACTGTTAAATAATTTTTATTTTACCTTTATACGGGTATATTTATTCATGTTTATTATTTATTTATTGTGATGGACCTATATATGCAGTGTAATTTCAAATGTTCAGCTTTTTGCTGTTATGTGTAAAAAAGTTAAATAAACATTTTTGTTTTACGCATAGGTCATTGATGGTCTCTATCTAGGAAATATAAGAGGTAAGCGCATTTTTTAAGAAATTATTTGTTTTGTCATTATACTGTAATATTATATAAATAAATAAATAAATAAAGGGGTGACTCAGTGGTTAGCACTGTCACCTCAAAGCAAAAAGGTAGCTTGTTCAAGTCCTGGCTGGGCCAGTTGGCATTTCTCTGTGGAGTTTGCATCTTCTCCCCGTGTTGGTGCAAGTTTTCTCCTGGTGCTATGGTTTCCCCCACAGACCAAAGACATACACTATAGGTGAATTGAATAAATGAAATTGGCTGTTGTGTCTGTGTTTCCCAGTACTTAGTTGTAGCTGTAAGCAGGGGCGGACTGGCCATCTGGCAATTCTGGCAAATGCCAGAAGGGCCGGACCAATTTTTAAATGTGGGCCGGTCAGTTTTTTTTTATATGTATTGTTTTTAAGTGCAGACAGCTTTTATCCCTTGCTAGATGTGATATTATGATGATGATAATAAAAATAATAATAATAAATGTTAAGCATTTGGCCCAATCGGCAACTGCCGCCTGGTTTCAAGATGGGCCAACCCAATCCAAGGTTACCCGGACATAATCAAAACCTGGCTAGAATGTTACAGTATAGTATAGTATAGTGAATGTGTGTGTCTGTGGGTGGGGCTGTGTCGGTGGGGTAATGTGGGCTGGTGTGGCAACAGTGCCAGGGCTGAATTTTTATCCCAGTCCGCCCCTGGCTGTAAGCGATGTGTAATACATTTGCTGAATACGTTGGCAGTTCATTCTGCTGTGGCGACCCCTGATGCATAAAGGGACTAAGTGAAGAAAAACGAATGAATGTATATATGAATAAAATTTCAGGTGCTAAATAATAATTCATTGTTCAAGAAAAATATCCTAATATAGGTAGAAAAAAAGGTGTATCTTTAAACCTAAGGGAGAGCTTTAAAACAAGTGATTCTTATTAAGTTATTATGGTCAGAGCAGTGAGGGTAGGCATATTTGGTCTTCAAAATAATAATGATCATGCTAGAAACTCAAAAAGTTGGAATAATATAAATGAATAAACAGGTCTTTAGCTGTATTTCAGAGATTTTAAAGTAGCCTAACAGAACAATCCAAATTCAAAAGAGGAAATGGTCACTATCATCTGGTCAGTGAAGGGGTTTATTGACAAGGATAAGACTGAGGTAAACTGTGTAGTTCTAGAGTCACGAGTACCAAATTCATCACTCTATCAGAACTGTTGCTATAATAAATTATTACTTGGTATACAACATGTTTAATAATTAAATTAGTAGTGGTATTTTAATGAATATTGGATGATAAAATATAAATAGTCTAAATATCTTCATACCACATTGACCCTTTGTCCTGCAAGATTGTTATTGTTGATGTTTGCTTACTTCAAACCCACTGATTTAACTATCAACATCCAGACCTGCTGTGCACTATAATAACCTTTAAATTACTCACAAAAGTGGGCGCATGCTGAACACAGTTTTGTCATTTAATGTTTCTGTACACAGATTCAGAGAACAGAGACAGTCTGTCCCGCAATGGCATCACCCATATCCTCTCCGTCTGCAACAATGCAAAGCCTGTGTTAGAGGTAAGAACAGTGTTCCACATAAACCACAAGAAGAGAACTTTCTATTCCTGCTCTAATGCTGTTATAATTTGTAGATGGGAAAATATTACTTCTTTGTATTACATGGAACAAAGCTCATGACAAAGCTCTTTGACATTTTGCACACATTAAATGTCAAAAATAGTGTGAATGTGTTGCTGGCATCAATTTATTTCAACAGTATTTTTACATACAATGGAAGTCAGTGTGGACAAGCAATTGTTTCTTTCAATTGGTGAAATATTGTCTTATAACCTGTACACAATTTTGGCTCAGTAGATTTCTGTAGCATCTTTGCAGTTATGTGAGGTTTTCAGTTTTTACAACTAGGACTATTTCTGTCTATTATAATACTGTAATTGTTGCCAGTACTTGACTGTGTGTGTCCGATTGCCCCGGTATAGTGACGGGGACACTATACTGTCAGTGAGCACCATTTTTAAAGAAAAGTCCTGACTCTCTGTGGTCATTGCACTTCACATAAAAAGTAGGGGTGTAACCCTGGTCTAGACAAATTTCCTGCCCTACCCATCATGTCCTCTAATTCATCCACTGAATTGTCTGCATCACTGTCTCTCCACCCACAGTTAGTGTGTGATGAGCGCACTGGTGCCATTGTTCTATAGCTACCATTGCTCTTCCAGATGATGCAGAATGAAAGAAATGACCAAAACAACATTATCCAGATGTTTTACAATGGGATCGGTCTACTTGTTTGTCAGTTAATGCTCTCCATTACTTTTATCATCACATGATCTCATAACAAAATCCCATCACTTTCTTATATGCATAATGGACTTTATTTGGTAAAAGTATTTCCATCGTAGTTTATGTACAATTTTTTCATATTGACTTTTATGTATATTTTCAGAATGTATGCATATCTTAGCATTTGCATCAAGCCTTTTTTTCAATGACCTAAAATGTGCATAACAATAGGTGGATGAAAAATAACTAGTAGTTCAACTAAAATAAACATATTCCACATGTTTAATGCCCTAAACTTTGGGCTACACACTTAAAAATAAATAAATATATAATTTTTCTTGTAAAACTTTAGCAAACATCATCATCCTTGGGTTTCAAACAAATAAAAATTATAATGAAAATGATAGCTGATGCAACCCTGTGTTAAACACAATCCTAGCTTTTTATGTGTTTATATTTACAAAATTGATTTGAGTTTGTTATTGAAATCACTGTCAATCTTTTCTTTGTGCTTTTTTTGTCAACTAAACAAGAGTTCAAAATAAATAACAACTTATTGGTTTGATTGCATTTTACAAAATGTCCCAACCTTTTCTTGAAATTTGGGTTGATTACCAATTTAAATATACACTGTAAACATTTTTTTTTAAATAGACTGGCAGCTATGGCTGCCAAACAAAAACCATAAAATTACGGTAAAATTTCTTTGTTGAAATAAAGTGCAAAAACTGATAAATCTACAGATATTTTCATTAAAATGTTTACAGAAAAACGCTGTTATTTTACAGATATTTTCTAAATTATTACGATCAAATCAATTTAATAAAGTTTCACAATAAGAGTTTTACAGAGAAACACTGTTATTTTACAGATTTTTCTTAGATTATTATGATCAAACACCATCAATAAAGTGACTGCACTAAAAGTTCAGAAAACAATGTTATTTAAAAGAATTTTCCCTAAATCATTACGATTAAACACCTTTATTAAAATGCCAAAACATGCTCTTGGTCGTAATTTAACAGTTTTATTTTGGATCAAAAAAGTTAGGAAAAAACAACAAACGAGATACAACTGATTAAATTCTCACAACTAACATTACAGTTACATTTTATTGAATAGTATTCCTGTAAAACATGTAGAGGTTATATGGAATGATTCAGTTCCAAATTTTAAATGAAATGGAACTGTAACATGAAGAAGACCCTGACAAAGGATTGCAGATCCAAATGCAGGTTTATTACAGAGAGATAGTCAGGTAAGCAAAAGTCAACACAGGGGCGACCTGCAAACAGATGTATGCAGGGAATCCAGAGTCATGGTAAAATAACAATCAAATGATCAGTCCTGGCAGCAAACAACGTAAACAATTAACAAACAAAGCAAGCCAAAAGAAGAAAACGCTTCATAATGTTCACAGTAACCGTATAACAAGACTAAGCAATTGGTGCGTCCATGTAATCAGTTCATAACGATCCTCCGACTGTGTGTGTGCAATCAGCAGAATCTGGAACAGGTGCATGTGATCACTCTTAGTGTGTAACTTTATTGTATGAATTTGATCGTAAGAATCTAGAAAATATCTGTAAAATAACAGTGTTTTTCTGTAAACATTTTAATAAAAATATGTGTGGATTTATTATTTTTTCACTTTATTTCAACAAAGAAATTTTACCGTAATTTTATGGTTTTTGTTTGGCAGCCGTAGCTGCCAGTCATTTGACCTTTTTTATGATCTTTTTTTATTTTATTTTACAGAGCACGTAATTACAATTTATTACTTAAATTTAATGTAATTTTAAATGTACTTTAAAAAAAAACAGGAAAAGACTGTGTAAATAATACGTAAATTTTATTGTATAAAACAGACAAATTGCTTTAATTTGCCATTATTTATATAGTACATAAAATAACAGTCAAACTTTTGAATATAATTTAAAATAACAGAAAAAAATACTGTATAAATAATATTGTAATTTTCCTGTATAAAAAACAGAAATGTCAGTAATTTGTCTTTATTAATAAAGTGCCTAAAATGAAAGTCAAACTGTAAATTTAGAGAGAATATGTCATTTTACAAAGTTTTGAATATAATGTGAAATGACAAAAAATTACTGTAAAAAAATGTTTTTTTTACAGTATATATATATATATATATATATATATATATATATATATATATATATATATATATATATATATATATATATATATATATATATATAATAAAACTTCATTGACTATCTTTTTTCTGGGATCATAATCAAACAACAAACATGGTGCAAGAGTGCCATAGGACAATAGTTTTACCCTTCGTTTTCATTCACCCATGTGTTCCAGTCCACACAGTCTGAATGACACACAAACACCTGGACAGAGTTTGAATGAGGGCAGAGAGGTTACTATGTTTTAGAACAGCTCTAAGACTTGAAAACAGCCTTTTTTCTGTTGGACAACGAATTATAACCTCTGCAAACACCAGAGCTTTCTTTTTAAACCTTATAAGCAACACACACCCACATTATCTTTGCTACAGTTGAGAGACTAACAAAGCTTCAATAAGATTCTCAGTAAAATGCTCCCCAACACCAAATTTTGCTACCTTCTTTTTTGAAAAGATTACTATCATATGTGAATAGCTTATTCTCAAGTTTTGTTCAAATCATTGAAAGAGAGAGGTTATTTAGATCTTGTATTTGACATTCACAAGGTAATTTTAAAAATATAAATTATAAAAATTTAAAATTATTTATTTTTATTTTATTTTGGCCAGTTTCAGAAAAAAAATCCTAGAATATTTCCTGCTTTATTTATAGAAGTGTTACAGCAATATGAATCTATGTCTTGCAGTGTGTGCATGGGGCACAAATGTTCTAAAATGCACCTTTTGAACTTACATTTTATTATTATTATTTTGCTTTTTTCTTATATCATTTGATCTCCTTTTCTACATTTTATCTTGATACAAAATAATTATAACATGTAAAGCATATTGTACGATGAATTTACAGCTAAAAATAATAAATAAACTATTTTATTTTTAAAACTAAATCTTTTCTGATTTGACTGCTGGAATGATTTATAATTGAAGGTGGGGGCCACATTTGTGCAGATATAATTATAAATTATAGGTATTTATTTGGGGAACCTTAAATTTCTTAGGGCCCTAAGCAGCCGGTTACGTTGCTAATTGGTTAAATACGCCCCTGACTACAGAATGTGTTCTGTGAGGGTTGTGGGAAAATGACAGGATAAACATTACAGGGTAACACTTTAGAATAACTATCTGTTGTAAGTAATTAATAGATCATTAATAAACTGTTAGTTAATGGGTTATAAATGACTTGTTAAATAAAAGTTAATAGTTTGTTAATTACTTATAACTGTGTCTAATAGATAGCCAAAAGATAACTTACAAGCTGTTAGTTAACAAGTTTTAAATGACTTGTTAACTGTATTTTAATGATTTATAACTATACCTAATAAATTAGAAACAGATAATGAAAATGCTGTTTGTAAATTACTTACTAAAGACTTGTTAAGTATCAGTTAATAGTTCATATATGTTATTGGAACGTTATTATAGTTGCAACTATTCTTCATTTATTAACTGTTAGTAAATGAGGAATAGTTGCAATATTAGAATAACCTCCCAATAACATACATAAGCTAATAACTAACACTTAACTAATATATTAGCTCACACTTTACCAATCTGTTGTTCATAGTTTGTTAACCATCTACTTATACCAGTGAAACTTTGTAGAACAGCAAATGGATGGAACAAGTTCAAGCTACAGAAATTTGATGTGATATTTAAAATATAACATTTTTTGTACCTTAACCTTTTTCCACTCATAGGCTTTTCTGTGTGCTGTGTTTTACCAAAGAAACTTCACAAATGAAATGTTGAATGTTGTGTTTAATGTATAGAAACACCCATACTGAGACATCACATGGCAGAACAGCAGTATACAACAGAATACAAACCCATGAGTTTGGGCACTTTTTGTGCTAAACATAAAAAAAAAAAAAATATTTTATTAGAAAAGTTGTACAAAAGTTTCACTGGTATTAGTAGTTTGGAAAAACTAATATGTAAAGTGTGAGTTAATATATTAGTTAAGTGTTAGTTATTAGCTTAAGTATGTTATTGGGACATTATTCTAAAGGTACAACTATTCCTCATTTACTAAGTTAATAAATGAAGAATAGTTACAACTATAATAACGTCCCAATAAAATATATAAACTATTAACTGATACTTAACAAGT